ACTGATTTCCGGTATTTTGGTTATTTTGGTTCCTAGGGAAAGCGTTGTCCGATTTTGTTCAAAATTGCTATATCGTGTTAAAATAGCAACAAATTTCAGCTCCTTAAATTTCATTAATTTATCTTTACTTTTACCCGATCGTTCCTATGGGAGCTATAGGATATAGTTTCCTGATCCGAACGATTTTCATACTATATGTGCCTAGGGACAAATAATGATGATTGGTAAAGCTTCATGTCGATATCTTCAAAACTGATCGAGTTATTAATTAATGCCACAAAAACTGGTCAAAAACCCCATAGTGCACTGGCTACTGCTGGTTGAAACGGACACATGCCAAACGCAACTGAGGGCCTGCGCATGACATGGCCTGCACTTCTCGAGCAGCTGACTTGCGGGGGGTCCTGCTCCTGCCTGCCTGCCTGCCTGCTAACCCCTCTTCGCTTTCCGTATGAATTGGCCCGCAAAAGTAGGCAACACTTTGCATATTTAGCCAGCTTCCATTCAATTATTATGCTAAGTGGGCAACTCATCAGGCAGTCATTTGTTTTTCGACATGCAATTACGCTTGGAGCTCCAATCGATAAATCGAAGTCCCCTCTTTAAATGCACAAAATGCATCGCATTCCGGAACTCGACTGAGAAGCAGTTTCCCTGTGCTGTTCTGCGTTCCTGCGAGCTGGTAAAATGAATTTTGCGGTAGGCCGCGTAATTATTTTATACACTGCTCCCCTCTCTTAAGCCCCGCAAAACAAAGAGCTCCCTGCGAGCAGCAGCATAATATATCAAGCGTTGAGCAAGGCCCACAAAAGGCAGCCATAAAGAGCTCCCAGTTCCGAGTTACCAGGATCCTCTGCTCCCTGCTTCCAGCTGCACCCCATCTTCCGTGCTCCATGCCCATTATTATTTATGCGTATGCATAGGACGCAGGGCTGGCTCTGGCATCGGTTAACTTTATGTGCGGGGGTGTCGTGTGAGCCTTATTTAGTGACCTGCGAGTGAGCCAGCGCCTGCCGCAATCGGTTGTTGGCTGGTAGGAAAATTTAATATAGCGCCTGTCGGAGCAGTATTTTATATCAACTGGGTTTGGTCAGCTCACAATTTTTGCCTTTTTAAATTTACGATTTAACCCAATTTTTTGGGTGCTTTATCGTATGAGGTTGATTACTCCATTTGGCCAAATGTATTGAGATTTATGCCTGACAGCTTCTTTTTTTGGGTCAAAATAAGAAGGTAATTTATATTGTAAATGGTATATATATCATTCATAGGTGGAATATTTTACATGTGTTTAAATTTAAATTTGTTTTTTGTCTTTGTAGATTTTGCTATGCATTTTCCTCGAAAATAAGCAGGGGCTCTGTTTTTTTTTTTAAAGTTTTAAATAGGATTTGGGAACTCAAGTTTTCAGCTTGGCTTCATAAAGATAATTTCTGTATTTTATTTGATATGTAATATAAATATTTAATTTTCTTTTATAAAATCCCTGACAATAAATATTCCTTTTCTATAATTTCAAAGTCTGTTTTCATATACCACATTTCTCCTTTTATTCTTCCTAAAATAAACCCACTGTTATAGGTTCCCTAACAATTAGCCCTTTCTATTTATTTGTATTTTCCAATAAAACACCTCTATTTCAGCGCCCCCCCCTCAAAGTACTTAAGTCCGCTCCTGTCTCCTCGGCATGTGCCAATCCCCGTAATACATCTAGAGCCTGCCGCTTACCCCTTTTGGCCCCATGGCTTAGGCTGCTAATTAAAATTCAGCCATTGGCATCGTTTTGCATAGTTTCTAATTTGCCAGGGCGTTACAGAGAGACAGAGAGAGAGAGAAGGAGAGAGCAGGGGATAAAGAGAAAGAAGAGGGTGCTAGGGGGCGAGCCAAACAACATGAATATTTGAATATGGATTTGTGTGGTCTGGCATACTGAGTAGCATACTAAGCCTTGGTCACCGGCAGTTGGGGGCTAAGACGGGTTGGATTGGCCCTAAGAAGGTCTTTAGCTCTGAGTTTTTGTTGTTGTTGTTTTTTTTTCTCGTACACACACTCACCCTGACCCCCTGCTCCTCCTGAGCGTATTTCTTGATTTCACGCTCCAAATCAAGCTGCCTCGTTGTTGGTTTGGTTGTCCATGTTGTTGGGTTCACGAGAAGTGAGAAGGTTGAGCATCGCATAAGTTTGTTAGATTTGTACACATTATTTATATATGTATATCGTGTGTATGTGTGTTGGGTGTGTGTGCCTTTTGGAGGGGCTGAATGTAAGCCGAAAGTTTGAGCTTCGAGCAGACAAAGTGGCGTCAGTTAAATGGCCATAAGAAGTAGACAATAAAAGCAAGAGGGGGACTCTCGTAAAAAGTATATTCCAAGCCGGAGATACATGCGTGTATGCCACTCGTCTTATGTAAGAGTGCCAAAAGTCGGAGCTGAGAGTGGAAAAAACTCGATAGGATGTGAGGCTGTGGCCCAATTTGAGGCTAAACACGATAAATTATTGAACTTTTTTTTCTAGTAGGCTGGCGGCAACTGTAGTTTGCAATAAATAGAATCTGCAACGAGCACCGAAAATAGGAAATGTAAAACGCGCTGACCTCGAAAGAACTGCGCCATTGCGCCGGGCCGATTGCTCCCTTTTCCGGCCCTGTTAACGCGGCGTATACGCAACAACTTTTAATTGCTCGCCCGACGAGGCGAAATTTTTGTTTTCTTTCTCTTGTTTTTGTTCCTCCAATTGTGTGGGCTCTTTTTTTTTCTTTTGATTTGGTTGGGGTTTTTGTGGGATGCATTTTAATTACTGCTGTCCGGACCATGTATGCAACTATGCCGCATTTCCCTCGTCCACTTGTGTTTGTCTTTTATCAGTGACAAATTAATTTCGAGCCTCGCCAATCGGCAATCGCCATTCGCCGGTCAAGGCAGTTCTTGTTGGCCTTTCCTTTCAATTGGTATAATATAATAAAGAACCTATCGCCCGCTGGCTTACACTTTACGCAGAAAATAAAATGTGAATTGCCCCGAAAAAACGGGAATAAAATTCGGCACTGAGCCAAGGAGGGAGCATGAAAAAAACGGCTACTGAATAGCTATTGTCCAGAGCCATTCCATAGAATTGGTGGCCGAATGGCCGAAAAAAGGATGTTAAGCTTATGCAAATGGCTTTAACGCCGCGGGGTATCCACAGATAAAATATGAAGTTCGAAATTCAGTCAAGGATAGGGTGGCCTGTCTCTGGATTTTTCGCACTTGAGCTGTCACATTTAAATAAATGCAATTGTGCAATGCATATGAAAATGTGAAATTTATGAATATTTCTAGCAATAGCAATTCAAGCAGCACCATTAAAGAGCATCTCAATGCGATAATAGCTAAATTTTCCCTCAGCTGTATGCTGGATATTCCCATTGGTCTCGGCTTGTTGGTCTATTGTCCTTAAATAGATTTTCTGTTTCTGTATCAAGGTTATTTATGCTGCCCACTGGGAATATTCCCAACTGTCTCTGTCTCGGAAAATGCTATTTCCTACCGTATTTCCCTCCTTCCTTATATTTTATATTTTTGCTGTTTGCTTTTGGCTTGCCCGTCTGCCCGCCTGCCTTCTGCCTTTTGTTCTGTTTGCTCTTAATATTACGCATACGCCATGTGTGCTTGTGTGTGGGAGTTTAGCCAAGGGGCAAACATGTAATTAGAGAGGGGGCATGGTAGAGAGTTGGGATCAGTAATAAGCAGTTGGTTGTTTGTTACGTCCTTGGGGAGGTCGCTGTCGTTGTGGCTGGCTTAAAACTTGGTCTAAGGACCAAGGACTAAATGCAGTTTTGCGGCAACTCCAAAACCATTTCAGATTGATTTCCCCCGGGGGGGGGGAGGGTAAGCACTACGTCGATAAATAATGAAATGCAACAATGAATGCAGCAGGGGAGGGTGAGCAGTAAGGAAATGCACTTTTCCCCTGGAAAATGCCAGATGGCAGGGCAATGCATTACTGCTGCATAAGTGGGGCACCGAAGATGCATCCATTATGTCGCCGAAAAGTGTGCAACAGAATCGAGACTTTATTGGGCGGCGAACAATGAAATGACTAAGCTGCTGTCTGAGTGTGAGTGTGGAGTGAGTGTGTGTGTGTGTGAATGGGCGGGTATAAGTGTGTGTCTGTCTGTCCTGTACTGCACTTAATGTTAATTTGAACGACGTTCATTGATGTTGACTGCCGTCCCCATTCTCATCGTCGGCACAAAAGTTGCAAATTAATTAAGCGACACAACGGCAACAAGAACAAAACAGTTAAAAAATATGCAAAACATGTAGCAAACTGAATGAAACGTGTCAAGCTCTGCGTATGTGTGTGTGTGTGTGTGAAAATGGAAAATCAACAGTGGAAAACATAGGAAAAACAGTGTTGAAAGAACACTAGCTAGCAACTACGAGCTCGAGCTTCATTTGGTATAAAAGCGAACATTTTCTAGGCTCTACTTTAGTTTTTTTTTCACTAGGTTTTAACAAATATGGCGGTGTGTATATATATGTTTATAGTAGAGTATATAAAGGCTTAGTGTGTCTGCGTGTATGTGTGTGTGTGTTAAGAATAAAACAAAAGTTTTTACAGTTCTGATGTTGCATCAAATGTTTCGAACTCAAGATGCATAAAAAGTGTTTGTGTTTTTATTTATTTTTTGTGTGTCAGAGAGAAAGGGCAGGTGGCGAGAAAGAGTTGGAGATGGTGATGGGAGGGGAGAGAATGTCACCTTCTCCCAGTGTCTCCATCTCTCGACCTCTCTCTCTCCCCGCCTGCCCGTGTACGAAATCATTCTCTAGAGCATTGTTTTGCCGAACGAAAGAAAATTAGAGAGATAGTTTGAGAGAGATATACAGAGGTATAAAGAGGGGGAGAGAGACAGAGAGACTGGGACGCGGGTCAGGGGCTCGTCCGCGACCTTGTCCATTTCTGGTAAAGATTGGGGTGGGGGGTCTTGGGTCCAAAGCATCTGATCGATCGGGTCTTACCTGCTTCTGGGCCATGGCCTGCATTTGCTGGAACATCTGGCGCTCCTCCTCCTTGCCTGTAAGTGGATACAAACATTTAGAGACTCTGATCTTCTTTTGTTTGGTATACTAATAGATCATGGACTCACCCATGCCCTTGGCCTGTAGCATCTCCAGCAGCTTCTTGATGCTCTCATCGCGGGCAATCAGCGTTTGCTTCTGGGTCTCCACCCGGCACTCGAGATCCTTGATCGTCTCTCGCAAAATGCTAATCTCCCGCTGCAGATGATCGTTCTCCGCATAGATGGCCTCCATTTGCTGCTGCATTTCCAGGTTGGGCTGACGCATCCTAAGACGCAGCTCCTCCTCTAGCTGGCGCACCAACATGGCTTGTTTCTGTTCAAAAAAATATTTATTAGAATTATTTGTCTTAAAAATATATAAAATATTTACCTGATTCTCTGTGCTTAGCAGCTTCAACTGATCATTGATCAGACTGTACTTGGCACTTTCCTCCTTGCGCAGTGCCCGCTCCTTCTTCAGCTCCGGCGACCAGAAGGTCTTGATGCTGTGCATCGAACTGCCCAGCTTTTGGTTGGTCAGCTCCAGTTCGCGTTTGAGATTGCCCAGCTCCCGCTGCAAATCGGTGTTCTGGTGCTGCAGGTCACCCAAATACGCCCGATCCGAGGTGGGACCCATGCCCGTATTATAGCCACCCATGGCACTGGGACTCTGGCGCGCCGATCTGCCATATAGTTCGTCCTCTAAATACAGTCCCCGTTCGAGGGATCTGTCTCGGGAGCGATCACGTGGCTCCCGGATGGGTATGAACTCGCGATCGTGGGGATCCACGAGTCCACCGCGATCCAGCGATTGGTAGCGGGTTCCTGTGCGGGGGGATTTACGAAAAGTTATTTGTAAGCGAATTTTGTAAGTTGATTGCACAGAAAAAAATTAAAAAATACCTTTAAAAAAATATTAAAATTTTCAATTGTAAATTTTTAATTTAAATTTAAACAATAAATTCTATTTGTTTCAGTGCAATATCAGATATTTAAGAGATATTAGACATTGGTCATTACGTGGATAGTCCATGGCATGGGCCATCGGTGGTCTGCTGGCGCTCCGGCTGCGATGGTGACCCGCTCCGGCCGGACTTGTTGGCTCATCCATGTCGCGGTAGTATGGACTGCCCATTGCTGAAATTCACACACACACAGAATTCATGAGGATGACCGAAATGAGTGGATGACGGAACGGGTGGACGGGTAGCTGGGTGGCTGGGTTGGTTGGTGGTTTTATCTCTGGTGGTGGTTCTGATTCTGATACTGGTTCAGGTTCAGGTGGTTGTTTAGTGTTTTCGTTGGGCCACCAAAAACAAAATGAAGAGAGAGAAGGCAACCGAAAAAAAAACAAAAAACCGAAAACAAAAAACAACACAGGAAACACAGGAACAGAGTGTGTCTCTATAGGTGGCAACTAGTGCATTTTGGAGCAGTCTCTGCCTCATTTTCGTTTTTATTTTTATTTTTTTTTTGTTAGCTTTGGGTTAGTGGTGAGGGTGGCGGGGAACGCAGGTAACTTGTACAAAAATGTAAAGGAAAAACAAAGCAAAAGTCAACAGTAGGCAGGGAAGAAGTGTTTGTCCGTGTCCTGGCTTTGGTTTTTACTACACCTACTGCTTACACCCACTCTGACTACATTGTATGTCCTGGCTCATATTTCACCTGGCCTGAACCCACTCTTCAACCAGCGAGGGGCCATAAACTAAGTTTTCCTAGCACGAAATCATTTTGCACGTCGAGAGCACGAAACTAAATTTGCGGTTCCGCCAACGTCCTCGTCCTCGTCACCGTCATCGTCATCGTCAGTGTTCCCTGCTCGACTCATAAATGGTTTATTTCAGACCCTCAATGGCGGCCAAATGCTAATTAGCTGGAGTAACCAAGTGCCCTGACCCCGTTCAAGTGCAAAACAGTTTAGCTAACCATAATTGTAATCCAGTTTGAGGCTTTGATATCAAGCTGAGTGCTCGCGGCAAAGTTACACTGCGTTGTCAGTTCAAGGTGCACGCTTTTCCGCTGTGGTTTTCCTTTCGGCTGGGGCCCAACTGGCTCAGCTGTGGTCCATGTGTCCTGCTCTCTAATGCAATTTTCCAGCAGCTGTAGCTCCTGCTGCTGCTTCTGCTTCTGCTCCTGTTTCTATTCCCAACCAATTCAATTCCATTCAATTGAATTCCATTCCCCGCAAGGAATCCAATTTGCATGTGTTTGTGGCAAGGAGTGTCGAGGGTCGTTTGTGTGGGTTAATTGAAATGAAAAGAGTGAAAGAGTCGGCGGTAGAGATTCGCAAGATGAGTGAAGCGAAACGGAAACGGAAATGATAGAAAAAAAGGTAAATGAAAATGAAATAAATGAGAATTGAATCATAGTGAAAAATGAAATGAAATCAAATTTATGTACCATGCGCATGCGTGTGATGTTAGACAGAAATAATAGAGTTTAGTTAGAAATTGCATTAGTTGAGTCGACTACAAATAGTACGAAATGAAAATGGTTATACTATGGTTATGGCGGTACAAGTTAGAGAGCTAGCGAGCGATATACAAATCTCAGAACAGAAGCGATAATTTTGCATAATGAATTTTTAGCGAATTTGGGCGAGTTTTTTCTTTGCGAATCTTTTTTTAAGAGAATTTTGAAATGACAACTGCTCAAAGACAGCTTGGGGTTAGTAGTTCGATATACGAAATCAGGAAAAAGCATAGCCAATTGATCGAATTAATCGAAAATAATCGAAAAATAATCGGGATTTTCAAATGATCTCTCGCACAAACGATTCTGGGTGCTGATTTGGACTACGTTTGTGCTCGGATTATGCTTGGACTAGCTCCGTTAGCAACTATTGATCGGTTAATCGGTAAATCGGGATGGAGGTTTCATTCACCTAAAGGACTTCCGCGTGGCGCGCCGTAGTCCCGGGATGGTGATCGATCGACCGTCGGCAATTCCTGGAGCCGCCGCACGCGACCCGGACTGCGCACACCAGAGCTAGTTACTGGATTATAATCGTCACGTGACATAATCCGCGGCTCATCCGCGGCATGCAAACTCCGACTTCGACTCTGAATCCGACTTCGATTTCGACTTTGGTTAGGAGGAGGATTAACCCAGGGATATGGGTAAGAGAGAGTGTGCTGCTTGGCGAGGCCGTTCGCTTAAATGCAACGTTGAACTTTGATTTCGGGCTTCTCGGTTGATATGCACGGTTTTGATTGATTGATTGATTGATCTATTCGCGACTCCCTCTCTCTCTCTCTCTCTCTTTATCTCTCTTTCTCTCTCTCTCTCTCGATCTTGTGCGGCATCTGCAAGTGAAAGAATTGAAAAGAGAACGAAAAACATACACACAAATAGTACAATGGCACACAATCTGCGAGTTACTCTGGCTAGAGACAATATATTACATTACGCATACGCCCCGTGGCAGGCTTCCGTCTTTGCATTTAAATTGGCCCGCTCATCTTGCATATCCTTAACCTTTTTACCTAAATCTCAGCCAGAAGCTGTCCCACTACCAGGCCCATAAGCGCATAAACAAATACCATAAACAGACACACGGACAGGGGCAGGAAGAGAGCTGGCGAATACATCTCGCTGAGCATTGCATTACGGCGGCTCTATGCAAATTCGAGCTCCACGACGGCAACAAATCGCATGCAAATTGCCACTTGAGCGGTTGCCTCTCTACGGTTGCAAAAGAAAAGAAGTCTCAGACTCAGCTGCTACTTCTACGTCCACCCTCAAAGAGTGCCGCAGGTAGGAGTTTATGCCGCTGCAAAGTGAGGTGTCGTTTCTAATAATGTATTCAAAACTTTGCCTTTAAAATAGGCAAGAAAAGGCTTTGACAGCCTTATTAAAGGCATAATGAAAATATTAAAGAACTTCCCAAGAAGATTTTAAATACCAAGAACCTTCTCTCAAGACATAATTTCTGTACTTACTTTTTAAGTAAGAAATATTTTGTATGTAAGTAAAGTAAAGCTTGCTTCAATGGTATGTACTTCAGAATTAAATTTCTCTAAAGTAATCTATTAAATATTCATGTTTTACTTGAACTTGTATGCCACAGACTGCTTTACTTTTACCATTTCCCCAAGGGCCTTACTCAAGATTTGAAATATGGCTGTGAATGTCATGAATAGCAAATTGCAATTAAGCTGCCCGCATAAACAAGGCGGCATGGCGATAAGACGCAATGGAACGGTGACAGTGCCTGCCTGAATGGGCCAAGAGTGCGGATATCAACGGCAGCACCAGCTGCAGCGGCTCAAATGAAAGCATAAACGAATCAGCAAGCCGGAAGCCCATTCACATTCACAAGCCGGCAGACTCCGTTAGCGAATCTCTGGCTGTGACACAAAAAAAGAAGAAAAAAAAAAAAAGAAAACAACAGAAAAAAGTAGAAGAAGTAGGAAGTGCCAGCAGATGAGGTCAGGATATGGCAGACAGGCCATAAAATATCAGGCCCAGATTCGATTACATCGCCATGCCATTAGGGAGCCCCAAGCACTGCACTTTGCTGGGCAAACATAGCGATGTTCTATATATACATGGGCAAAAGAGGAAGCCCAGATAGATTGCACTTTGAGCTGCATACTTAAGGGAGAAGGAGGTCGAACCAGGGAAGGAGACCGAACCGGAGACCGAGCTGGAGACCGGAGACTGAGTCTGAGCCAGAACTGGATGACGGCACCGAGTAGGAATGCTGACCAGGAGCCATCTTATCAAACTATCTGCTTTGCTCCACCCCAAAACAAACATGTTGAATAGCCACCCAGAAAAAGAGAGAGGTAAGCGTAAAGAGAAGGCCTAGGAGTAAGCCTAGGAGAAAACCTAGGAGAAAGCCTAGGAGAAAACCTCAGAGAAAAGCCGGAGAGCGAACTCACCACGGCGGGTTGTGCGCAAATGCGTGGCATCTCTGCTGCCCACTCTTTGCTCACAACAATAGCGTCATCGTAAAATATTTTTGCCGTATTTTGTTGTTACCACTGGCCCAATGTATGGATTGGCGGCGTTTTCTTTTCTTGCACCCACACTCACACACACACACACACAAACGAGGCAGAGGCACATGTAAAATAAGGTTAAAATTTGAAATCAATAAAACTTATTTGACTGATCTAAAATTAGAGCAGGCAACTCAAATAACAACCGAAAGAAATAAATAATAAAGGCAAACACCGCAGCATTGACACGCAAACCGGGTGGCACAAACCCCCCGAAATAATAAAAAAATATATACATATATATATGTATAGGGAAAATGGGAAATGTAAAAGAAAAACTGTCAAATCATGCGAGCATTCGCGAGGATACATTCAATGCGTTCAAGCCTGCCCAAAAAATCTACTTCCCCCTTCGGAAATATCTAATTATGAGTTTCCAAATTGCTTGCCAATCCGTTTGATTGATTGATTGAGAGCCGTACAGGGCGTATGGGTAGTATACTCTAAAAAAGTCTAAAATTACAGACTAAACTAGGGGTTAAACTAGGACTCCAACTAAGACTAGGCAATCAGGGAATCGCGATAAATAATAATTGTATACAGAGTCACAGGAGAAAAGTATTAAAGAAATCACACAAAAAGAAAGGAAGGAGGGGGGTTACAGGGGGGTTACAGGGGTACTGGAAGTTAATTCATACCGCAGGCACAATGAACAGATTACTCATAACTGATTACGGTTAAATTATGGCAGCTCCTGTTACACAAGGCTTATATATATATACATGTACGCACAAATCAGAAATCAATATTGCTTACGGTTCACATCACAAATTGAACTTCTTTTTATATGCGTGTGTGTGTGTGTGGGTGAGTGTCTGTGTCTGTGTCTGTGTCTGTGACTGGGTGTGAGTGTTACGTATACGTAATGTGTGTTAAATAGCTCACCCGCTTTGCTTAGGCGATGAATTTTGAATGATTTTTCGTTAACGATTTGCGGGAGAATGAAATTTTTATAATCTATCTCCAGGCGCTGCTCCTCTTGCTAATGATGCTCCTTCGTTTGCCGCCTTATCCTAACCTGCCACTTCCGCTTCCGGCTTTTCAGAGCCGCAACAATTTGCTGCGCCTCCCTCTCACACACTCGCGCGCGCACTCATACACACACACACACACTGAGGCACTTGCACTGCAACTACATGTGTGTGTGGGCGATTTGTTGCTTGGCTTGATTGCAATATTTGTTGTCGCTGCTGCTGCCGCTGCTAGTGCTGTCAGGCGGCTCAATGGGCATTTCCGTTTCCGTTTTAGATTCCGGTTAGCTTGTCGCTCGCCGCCGCTGCTCGCTGCTCGCTGCTTGCTGCTACTTGCACTAATTCAGTTGATGACACTTAGTTAGGCTTTAGTTAGTTTGTTGACTTTGGTGGTAATGTCGTGGCGTGGCGTGTCGTGGTCGCTGGCTAATTGCATCTTGTGTATGATTTAAACGGGGTTTGTTTTTATGTACATGGCTGTGTTTCAAAAGTTTAAAAAAGGTTGGAGGAGGATTACGATAATTAGCGACCGCTTGAGCTTTTGTTGCTAAACTAATTAAAGTATTCATTCAGTTTTTTTCACTCCTCCGAGTTTCGAGTGGTTTGGCTTCGTGGCTTCGTGCCCAACGAGGCGGTTGTTTTTTATATTCCGAACTCGCTACAGCGTAGGAAAAAGCCACTGACACACATTCGAGGCACACTCACACTTACACACGCACACACTCTGGCACTTGTTCACCCACACAGATGCGCCGGAAGGCAGAGAGTAGATAGGGAGTTTGAAGAGTGCTCCGAAAAATGGAGTGCAGAGTGCAGAAAGGAGAGTGGAGAGCGTTCTACGCACGAGTTACGCTCCACGCTCCATGCTCCATGCTCAACGGACAACGTCAGGCGCAACGTAACGGGGAGAAAGGGGGAGGGTCTTAAGGGTGGCCTAGGGTGGCCCAGCATTATGCTGGCACCACCTTCTGCCACTTCATTCGCTCGGCTCTAGGCTCTGTTATACAGCTTATGGCTTTTCAAACTTAATGTCTCTGCTGTAAGGGTATGCGTATGAGTGTGTGTGTGTGCCCGTGTGTGTATATACACACATATACGTATAGGTATCTCGCATGGCTTATATGTAGGTTGAAGCAATTTATAATAATTTTTCCGTTCCTTCGCCCCAATCGATAGGCAGCGTTTAGTGGGGCAGATTACTCCTTTTGATTGACAGCCACACCACATACGTAGGTGTGTGTGTCTGTGTGCATGTATAGGCTTTTATCATCAAGGGTTAAGGGTTAAGGATTAACTCTATGTTCGGTTCACACAACTGTAGATTAAATGGACCCTTTATTTTATGCACTTTTCGGCTTTTCAGCATTTTTCGCAGCACATTTTGCAGGAAATCACTTTTCTGTATCCAGGGAGCTGCCTCTAGCGCTATTGCTGCCACTCACGCACACTCACTCACTGGCTCACTCGCACACCCGCACACACAGTCACACCGATACACACACTATTATAGGTAGCTAGTACAATTTATTTATTTAATGTGGTTTCTGCGAGTCAATGGAATTTTCACGCGCTGCCTCTAACTATTCTTCACTTTTCGCCGCCGCTGCGAATGCAATTAAGTTGAATTTTTTTGCTTGGCCTTATACATTTCTCAGCCCGAGATACATATACTGTGTGAGTGTGAGAGTGTGTGGGAATGCGAGAGGGTGTTGGTATGTGTATGTGTGTTCCTAACCCAAAAATGTATTGTGCGGCAGCTGGGTGGCCCGTTTTCGGCAACGCCGTTGTCCAACTAACTACCCTCAAAGAACTGAGCGCCGCTCGTGCGAGCCAGTCGCTGATATAGTCGTTGCTAGTGGTGAGTTTTCCGGGCTTTTCTCTCCTCCTTCCTCCAGAGAGAGCTCTGGCGATTGCAATCAATGAATTTTCATTTTGGCGCTCGCGCAGTTCGGCAAGTGCTGGCATTTCGTTGCGAGCTGCCAGGCCAACTTAATGGATTCCGGACTCCGGATTTCGGAATCCGGAATTCCAATGCCAAAATACATATGAAGCCAGCGCATTGCGTTGCGCTTCCTGAGAAAATAGAGACTTACGTTGTGGCTAAAATAATAATTTCATTCTGGCAATGCTGCGCGCCAACTATTTAAACGGCCCTCAAAGGTATGCTGCGGTTTTACCAGCTGGAAAATTATTAAGTAGACAAGTTTATGTTTTGTTTATAAAAGCAGGAGATTTTCTATCTCCTTATAGCCAGTCTTTTTTTAGATCTGAAATATATTTCATACAATTTTTAAATGTATTCCTTTGACTAAGTTTGGTCTCTACTAATTTGATCTGCGTTCGTTTTTCTTTTAAAATTTTAACTTAAACAATGCAACCGTCTTAATCTTATAAAGCTCATATTTATAAAAACATTAGGTTAACATGACAAAATGCTTAATGAAAGGTTTCTAAGCAAATGTGGCTAGAAACATGTAGAGCTACACTTGCAACATGTCGGCAGCACAGCGATATTGCACAGGTTCAGCAACATAATGGTATTAAAATTCGAAATTATCATATACCATGATTACCTCTATCTATTATCATAGTACCTCCAACTCTTATAGTCTTTGTTATCTATGGTATTATAGGGAAAATCGAGCAAGCAGACAGATAAACATGGCTAAATCGTCTCGCCTTGTGATTCTAATGAATACTATTTACACAAAATTTAGCTAAAAAATGTCTCCATCTAAATTTTCCATATAATTTTATAATAAAATCCTTTTTTGTTTGTGATTGTTAACTTGTTACTCTTTATTCTGGAATGTGTGTGTTTGTATATATGTGTGTGTGTTTATGGTGGTGTCATTTGTGTTTGTGAGTGTAATACATTTCTCATAATACTTAAGTAACGCATTTCCTATGACATAGCCCCCCTAGCAATAGCGGCAGCCTGGCCCCTTTCCCGTCTATTTACAGGTGAACTCCTCGTAGCTCTCGTCGCACTCCTCGCACTTGACCTCACAGCACCAACGAAACTGGCAGTGACATTGCCTGCTCCGCCGGATGTGCTGTGTGTTGTGGCCACGTCCGCAGCAGAGCAGGTCACAGCTGCCAGGACCATGGCCATTCCGCTGGCAAATCCTACCGCCAGTCCCCTGGCTGCCCGACTGAAGGCTGCGTTCGCAGTAGTTGGGCGAAGCCTCCAGATACACCAGCTCCATGCGCTTGGGCCAGTCGAGAACCGGTTTCTGGGCACGAGCGGCACCGGTATGCTTCTTTCTGTGAAGGATTAAGATATTAAAGGTTCCTCTTATCTTTAATCTCAGCTTGTTCTCACCTGCTTAATACTAATCTCAGTCCACGTTTGCCTTTGACGGCTTGAACAGTTTTGGCTTTTTGATACTTTGTCATGAGCTTGTCGCCAATCAGGCGAAAGGGCGGCAGGCTCTTCCAGCAGGTCTTCATCACGCAGGACCCGCTGACGCCATGGCACTTGCAGTCCGTGCGCAGCATCTTCTTTACCAGCTAAAATATATATTTTTTAAATTTTAATTATTAATTACAAAATAAAGTAGCACCTAAAAGGTTACTCATACGCACCGTTCTCCCCGCCCGATTGTTGTGCAGATTCATCAGGGTGCGGGCATCGCGCTCTAGTTCCCGGGCATCCATGAATCTTCGCGCATACCGCATCCCAAAGTCCACATCTGCAGAGCAACCGCCCCATTTCCAGGGCTCGTCGGGCGCTCCTCCGCCTGAAGCAGCTGGCGCAGACTTGTGACGCACATCGCAGCCGCAGGTGGAGATGTTGCCGCGGGCACAGGCGGCAGTCACCGCATAAGCAGCTCCGGCGCTGGCTATCGCATAGGTGTAGGCTGCCTCACGCGAAGCTAGAGAGGATCGGGAAATAAATTTGTAAGTACATTCAGCAAATAAAATCGAACACAGAGGAATCTCTCTCTAATAAAATTAATGTTTTTTGAGATTATTCTGCGAGGGCGTTTCTTTTGAGACTTGGCAAAGAGATGCACACTCACCTGTGGGTATAACATGGGCAAAGACATTGGCCTGCCACACCTTGGAACAGTTCCAGCGGTGTCCACGGAACTGCTGCTGGCACTCCTGGGCGCCCAGCTGGTGGCCCTCGCCCAGGGCGATCAGGGCTTCTGGCATCTCGCCGCACATGTGACGCTGGCCGAGCGTCAGGCCCGGTATCCGGCCGCAGAGCATGGCGGATGTAAAGCTGGACACTAATCTGACAAGAAGGCAAATCGAACAGAACCATAAATAACAGCTCATGGAGCGACACAAACGCTATATAAATACTAAATAAATAAATAAATAAACAAGAAACAAATGCCGATCGATGGCGCTGATCTGGAGCCCGATCGATCGTTCGATTGGCAATGGCTAAAAAGTCGTGCACAGCAAATGCCGCCGGCTCTTTTTGGGTTGGCTGAATGCATTTCCATTTCGTTTGCCATTGGAGGGAGCTGAAGCCTAGCCACGAGCCACCACCAGCTCCAAGCTCTGGCTCCGGATCTCAGCCAATCCAACACACAAAAGCACCGAATCGGGTCTGGCCAAGATTAATGCCTCGCAGTTGTCTGACGCACAGGGAAAAATAATAAAATTATATATTTTTCCATTATACAATTTGAGGGATTTTTATTTGTAATGAAAGGGTAAAATAAATAATAAATAATCCCTTGCAAAAATTATACTTTCAGTTAGAAGTTTTTTACATAATAAAGGAATCAATTTCGTACCAATAAACAAGTCGCCATGTCAGCTGGATTTGAGGGATGAAAATATTTACGGTTTTCTTGAGGGAATAAGAATCCCAAAAAGCAAGTGATTGCCAAAAGGTCATATGGTATATGTACATATCCCACTGCAAACTGAAGGGTATACAGACTTCGGCTAAACGAAGTAAGTTTTCTTTGTCTTAAACAACTTTTTATACCCTTGGAGGGTATTATATTTTCAGTCAGAAGTTTGCAACGCAGTGAAGGAGACCTTTCCGACCCTATAAAGTATATATATTCTTGATCAGCATCAACAGGGGAATCTTTCTAGATATGCCAAGAAGAAATCGATTTTTTGGCCATTTTTGCAAAATTTTACAAGGGGTTACATCATTAAAATTTTTGATTTTGATAAAAAATTGAATTTTCAAAATTTTAAAATGAAGTGTGCAGATTTATTAACTGTAGAAACTCTTGCACAGAACAGTTTTCCGATTTAAAATTAATGCTCTTTTGGCCGAGTTATGATATTTTTAATATAAAAAATCCGATTTTATAATACAAAATAATATTTTTCTAAGTCAAGGAATCATTTTCGGCCCTATAAACCATATATATTCTTGATCAGCATCAACAGGCGAATCTTTCTAGATATGTCAGGAAGAAATCGATTTTTTGGCCATTTTTGCGAAATTTGATAAATTAAATCATTAAAATTAGCAAAAATGGCCAAAAATTTTGATCTCTTAAAATATTAAATTTGGAATGCAGTTTTTTTAAATTAATAAAAACTAACACAAAACTGCTTTCCGAATCGAAATTAATGCATTTTTGGCTTAGTTATGATATATTTTAATTGTTACCTGAAAGGGTAGCTTTCTTTCTTGTTAAATATTTGAATTTATTAAAGAATATCCCATTTTTATTAAATATGTAACAAAATACTAATTGCAACTTGAATTCAATATTTGTTTGGGTTTTGGTTTTTAATATATATTTTGATTTAATAGATCATTATATTAGCCTCATTTTTAATTCATTTTAAATACTTAAAAATAAATTCCTCAAATTATTTAAACTTGTAGATTTTTTCCCCTGTAACATCATATCTATGGCAGGTGGCTGTGGGCTTGGGCGTTGTACTGTCAGTTTTAGTCAAATCCCAGCCGCCAGCCGTATTATTAGCCATAATTACGGAGATGCAGATGGAGAAGCTTGGCCATCCGTCGTGACTGGCTGGAGTGTCCAATCAAGTCGCGTTTACTTCAGTCTCAGACTCAGTCTCAGTCTCAGTCTCAGCTTTGACTTCGACTTGAGCTTCGTTTTCGGCTTCAGTTGAGTTGTCGGGTTAAATGGCGAAATTAATGCCAGCAGTCGAAAATGGCAAATGGGATTAATGAGTTTTGACAATGAGTTGCAAATTGCCAATTTCTGCTGTAGCTCTCTCTCTCTCTCGCCCTCTATTTGAGCGGCGCCTCCCACCTGCCGCCCACTCTCACCCACTTCCCCTGCAAGAGACGTGTCGGCTGTCTAACCTGTCGAGTTGCGGCTGCCAAACCAATCAGCATCAAACAGCTGCGGCAATAATCATGCGATCGATCGATTTTTGGTCCATAGTCTGGGCCAACAAAATAGAAATAAAAGCCAAAGGAAAGAGCCAAAGAAACACATCCCCGGGCCAAACAACTGGCGCACGGGTGGGCAACTGCAACGTTAACTCCAAATTTAACATAAACTTCAATTGCCAGGCCACATGGTTGCACAGGGGAAAATATGGGTGTTTTAGCTTAATTAATTTCCTTTTTGGTTAGAATTTATATTAAAAAGGAATATATATACATTATTTTTTAAGAAAATTCTACCTTTTGATACGTACATACATATAAGATTTATAAATGGATTAAAGAGATAAGACCCCAAGAATAACATTTGAAAAGGAGTACTATTTTGTACCAATTGAAGTTAAGTTAATCTGCTAAATATAAGCTGTAAATATGTGCTATACAATTTTAATTAATTTAGTAAGCTATGGCAGATATAGTAACGTTTTTTAAACTCTAAAAGCCCAAGGATAACATCTTCATATATCTTAAATATTTTCCAAACTAAACTCAACTTCTTTGCCGTGTATAAACAAATGTAAGTGGCTTTCGCTAGCTGCCACTCGAGTGTCTCCAACTGCAACTCCAGCTCCAAGTTAAATTCAAACTCCAGCTTCAACTTGAGCTCCATCTTGAGCTTCAGCTTCAGTTGGCGAGGCACTCTTAAACGCAGCAATTAAATCAATTTACAGAAATTACACATTTTACCAACCGCAGAGGAGCACGAAGACATGAGCTTGAAAAACCCTCGCTTGATCGGTGATCGTCGATTGGCGATATGCGATCGCTTTGCTGCCTTGTTGCTGGCTTGTTGAACACGCTGTTAACATGGCTCAAACCCGACTCGACGTCGAAATTGGTGGTAAAACTAATAATTAGGCTCGTTTAATAGGTCCACAAGGAAGGGAAGGAAGGCGACCGCAAGGCAAACCTTCAACTCTGGACTTGGCCCGAAATACGCGATCGATCTGTCAGCAGTTGGGAGCATCCGCTCTGTCAGTCAGCCAGGCAGTCAGTCAGTCAGTTGTTTAGTCTTTCAGTCATCCAGTCAGTCAGTCAATAGCTTTTACGTGCGTTCGTTCAGCGTGACCGTCAAGCCACCCCGCACCTTGATACACCTCACATACTCCTCCTCTGTATTCCCCCGTACTCCAAAACTCAAACGCAATCAAGGCAGCCATCTCCATCTCCTCGCAACCCTTTTGTTTTTAGCTGCTTTATTTAATTTGTCGCTTGGCCCGCCCCTCAGTCGGTTGCCCCGGTTGCCGGTTGCCTGTTGCATGTCAACGCCGACAATTTCATCATCATCATCGCCATTACCAGAACACATTTCAGTTCCAGTACACTGACGAAAACTCATTTAAATTGGTCTAAAATTTAGAGTAACATATTAACAATAAGGTTTAGGTTATTTGTTAACCGATTTTAAATAGTGATTGGCAGTTGGAATTTCAGTAACAAACCCAATTTAAGTTTAGCTAGTTTATGTTGAAATGTAAGCTAATACAATTCTATATCTGGACTTTCTAATAGACTTTGTTTCCTTAAGAAACCTTTACAAGTTCCCCATGATCCTTTGATCCTTCTCTAGATCTTCTGAGAAAAGTTGACCATAATTTTGCTCTCTGTAGAACCCTTTCCAAAAACCTCTTCATGATCCCTCAGAATCTTCAACAGCTCGAGTCACGTGTGCTTGATTCGCGCTTTGTTTAGAGTCCCCCTTTTTTTTTTTGCTCATAGTCCTTGGACTGCTTTACTTTTTGTTGTTTTTATCTCAGGTTCTATATCGGGATTGTGTTCGTGACCCTTTATGCTGCGTGAGAGCAAGGACCTGCCATGAACTTGATACCGCTTCCGCCTCTGCCTCTGTGTCTGCCCCTGGAAGAGACTCCCCTGCAAAATAGTAGAGCCTGGCTTGGCATTTACAAAATGCGAAACTAGTTCCATTGACAGTCTTATGGCTTCTGCCGTCGGACAAATTGGTGATTCCTCACAGGCCACTAATTTGCACAAAAATATTTGCCACGACAACGCGGCAGACTCATTAAAAATGGATTAAGCCGGGTGCATAATTCAACGGCAGCCAAGCCGGGGCCACTAATGCAGCATAAATGCTGCCCCCTTCGACTTCGACTCCGACTCCAATAACAAGCCTCAAACCAGAAGCAGCCACAGCAGCAAAAAAGCCACAAGAAATGCTGACTTAATGCGCACTTTGGAGCCTCATAAAAATATGAGTTTAATATTTTCACGCGCAGGCGTAGCGGCAGCAGCCAGCGCTCTCCACTGGACCCACTGGCGATCAGGGAACTGTATGTATATATATATAGGTATATATAGGTGTATATATAGCCTGAAGCCTAAGTCTAGGGCCCTGTCATAATTGTGCGAATCTAGTCGGCCAAATAGTTTCGACCCACCGCTGCGCAGGCGGCTTTGGCTATTTATACCCAGTAATTGGAGAGGAAATGGGTATAATATATACTTGTTAATTGAAAATAAAAAGAAGAAAGCCTTAATTAATAAACTATAATTAAACTATAAAAAACTGTAAATATTTTTTTAATAAAATGAATGACTAGAAATATATCTCTTGAAAGTTGCCAGTAAGAAAACCTTTGCTATACGGACTTTTATAAAACCTACAGAGAACTATTATATTTTTTAATTGAAAGTTAAAAGAAAGAAAGCATTTTGTTTATAAACTATAAAGTGTATGGTATAAACAATTACTTTAATGTTTTTCTAAATAATATATTCCTGAAAGCTTCAAGAGACTAAGAACAAACTACCTACTTAACATATTACTTAGATTCTTTAAGCAATCAATAATCTTACAAATCAAATATTATACTTTTATAATATCTAAAATATCTCCCATCCAAAGTAATAAGTATCTCTTAGTTCACGACCTTCTAGCATCAAGTTCCTTAGGTTTTATTCCCTGGACTTGGCTCTGTGGCGATCTGACCGGTAGCGCCTCCAATAGCAGGCAGATATATATGGCCGGCGCTCCGTCTGGTAATTACATGCCTTGCTGACATGTTCATGGCCCTCCGCGGACCCTGCTCCGCCTCATGCTCTCCTCCGTCTCCTTTGGCCAACTCCAACTCCACCTCCATCTCCAGTTTGCCAAGCGCCAATTGGAGGCGGAAGCAACAAAGGCGCTTTAATCCGACCAAAACAATGCGTTGGTCCAGGAGAATGCTCGTGGGGTTCCTCGCCTCCCCTCGCTTTTCGGGGCATTTGAAAGTTCCGTGTGCGAGCTGATAAAACAGCTTTGCTCTCCTCCAGCTGCATGTAAAGTGGGCGGGGCCGGTATCGGGGCTAGAGAGGGAGTGGCCCAGGGAAAGGGGCAGCGAACAAACCGAAAACCCATAAAGGCTGTTCAACATGCCATCAATAAAATACAAATATTCCAAGGGGGCCAAACGGAGGAGCATGGAAACGAGGGAAGGAGAAGTAGTAGGAGGAAGAGGAGCAGGAGGAGGAGCAGAAGGAGGAGCACTGGAGCGGAGCAGACCATGGTCATGGCCAAGAAAAATGTCGCTGCCACGCTCAGACAAACGGCAACAGCAACAATTGCTGGCCATCCTGGCCACAAAAACGACGACGTAATTGACCAGAGAAAGACATATGTACAGGCACTGAGAGAAAAGTTGGAGTGAATCATTCAAAGGATATAGAAATTTTGAATTTTCTTTTATATGAATAAATGTTTTGTATGATTGAAACATATTTTTGGCAGACTTTGGGAAAATATAGATCTAACTAGTAACTTTCTTACTAGTGTCGAACTTGAGCATTTTACGGAAATACTTTAACAGCTTTCAGCTAGAACCTGTTGGGAATTTTAAAGCAATTTAAGTGCTACACGGCGAACATGCTAAAGAGACCCCTTGTGTTCTATGGACGTTATAAATATTTATTACACCTTGATATTTATCTAAAGTCCTATTTTTTATTTGTTTTTTATCTCTAATTTCCCAAATTGCTCGAGTCTTTCTCTCAGTGTACGCATGCCGCGTCCATGTAACAGGTAAAAGCCAAAACGGATCGTTCGTCATGGACAATTGGCAGAGACCAAGTGGTCGAATGGCCACTCAGGCAGTTAGCCAGTCAGGCAGTTGGCCAGCTTGGATCGCTCTCGCCCTTGCCGTCACCATCAACATCGTTATAGCCATCGCGCGCCCTGGCAAACAGATCAACGCAGATAGTTTTGTTTGTGCTTTGAGGTTTGCAGTCGATCACTCATCCATAGCCGCAGCCACAAACAAAAAAAAACTGAGTGGTAAGAGCCACAATGCCGGTCAGGCCGGGAATGGAGCTGAAAAAAAAACAAGAGATTCCTCGACCACCGTACCGATGCCAGGCGAGGCGACGGCTCCCGCACAGAGTTGGCCGTGCAGGTTGGCCTGGGAAACGAGGAAACGTGGAAACCTGGCCGCTTGGCGACTGGCAACTGGCAACTGGCAACCGGCAAGAGTTTATGCCATTTTGGGCTTGTAAATGCTGGCTCAACTGGCGCAGAGTGATCTTGATCGCAATTTGAGCGTTTGTCTGCACGTTCATGCGTTCCAATTGTCCATGTAAGAGCACGAGTGCGAGCACGAGGAGATGCATCTGTATCTGGAGGATGCAGCTGGTTTCCTGTGCCGGGGCATGCGCTTTAAAATTGCAGTAACCTCAATTACACGAGCTAAGCATTTCTGGGTTAAGACCCTTTGAAGCTTCTTGCTGGGTTTCCTTTTTTTATTTTTTTGTTTTTCGGTTAAGTTCAGGTTCGGTTTTGGTTGGAGATCTGCCCACTGACAGACCAGCCCACTGACAGAGAAATAAAGGAGAGAGAGAAACAGAGGTAGGCCTCCTTTTACCCCATCAAGTTGCGGCCGCGTATCTTTAAGATACACTCAACTTATTGCAACTGCAACTGCATCAAGGCAATTAGATAGCACTGACACACACACACACACACACACACACGGCAACTCTATACACAAGGCAATGTTGATGAGTTTATGGCAAAAATTGATTTCCAGTTGTCGTTGCTCCTCCCCCCAGGCCCCCACACCTCTTTATCCTGAATCCGATTTTAGCCGTGGTTTTAGATACAGTTAGAGAAATAAGAAGTAGCTTTGGCTTCTTTAATTGTAAAATATATCTCGAAATTGTACAGGTGTAAAGGAATATTCCCATAAACCTTTCTTTGACCCTTTAACCTAGAAAGTTGACAGGTGCACAGAAAATATACCCAAGAACCTTTTTCCCCTACTTACGAAGGAAATCTTGGAGTATTTCAGGACCTTTTTGAAGCTTCTAAATATATTTTAATTAATTTTTAAATATTTCCCAGAAGATAGCAAATATCCAACACAAATAATAGAATACTAAATGCATCCTTGGAATCTAGAAATCATAATTAATCTCATTTTTTTCTCGGTGCTTTCCCCGCTTGATTCGCCGCCGTACAAATGGCACTCGGCCGCGATGAGAGACTGCTGTCTTTCTGTCAGTTTTGTGTTTTAGTTGCTGCCTGCCATTTAATTGCCAATTTTAATGAGATTTTTTCCAGCGCTTTTCCCCTGTTTTGCCCGACTGCCAGTGGCCCACAGCGCCAACTATAGAATACACGGGGATGTAGAGGAGATACTACCACCGAGGCGGTTACTGTTTGGGCGTTCGATAAGGATTTAACATACATCGCGCCGTGGCTCTAGAGATAAAAATTAGCGATCGTGTCCGGCGATGTGCCTGATATAGCTAACTCGTAGAGGAACACGAAGGCAAACACAGATCGAAATTCGAAGCGAAGCGAAAGAGTTGTCAACTCGTGCAGATCTGTCAGCGATAAAAGGTAAAAAATACAACAACAACAACAGAAAAACCAAGGGGAACCGCCACAGGAAAGTGCTGGGAAAATGCTGGAAAAACCCAACCCAAACTCCAGCAGTGCTAGGCATAACTGTTCGTTCGTTCGTTCATTGGGCCGTTAAAGTTAATGTTCATGAAACGTTTATGGGGCTACTATACCTTATTTCCATAATCCAGAGTATGTAGATTAAGAGCTTGTTATGTATTTTCCACATGACGATGCAAATCCGCGGCACACAACACGAATACGAGCCCACCAGCAGCTGGCCACTATCATCATATTCTATTCGCACTAAAAGTCTCAATACGTTCGAGGCTTAATTTCCTTTCGCTGAGCTTTGCACAAATAATAATGCTGCTGCCCCGCCAGTCTACGTCTCCGTCTCCGATTTCCACTATTCCAAAGGGCTGACTGTTTACCCATAAACCGATGCCATGCGAGACGAACCCAGACCAAGGGAAACTCTTCTTCTATTGGTAAAGTTAGCAGAGGCTTTTGTGATCCGTTTTGTTGTTATTAATGAACCGAAAAGCGCAGACGGCAGCACTCAGTAAGTGACCGAAACCGAAAATACTCGGGCGTACGATACGAAAAAAAAAACTACAACAAAAATACAACAGAGTTTTTGTCCATTTGTTCGTATGCTAATTAACACCTTCTGCTACGGTTCGGCCAGCGGCGTTTCAATTAAGTCATCGCGAGATCGGATCACCAGGCGGCGGAGATGGCCAGCTTCGGGTCCAGCTTTAGCTTCAGCTTTGGGTCGTTTATCAGCGCGTGCGTTTCATTCATGCAAATCTCCGGACTTGGCCCGGCCATAACTCAGACCCGAAACTGCCATCAGCGGCATCATCATCCATCAGTGGGAATCCAAGTTTTTTTTTTCTGTGGGGGCGGGGTATGAGAATGTCCGTCCGATGGGTCAGTTGTCCGTCCCTCGGCAACTACACGATTTTTTAATTTATGATAAAGCGCCTCCGACTGTCACAACGGAATTGCGGCAATACCCATAAACGGCTCAGCAGGTGAAAACTACCAAAAAAGAAAAGCAAAAGAAGTGCCGAACGCCGACCGAGATGGAGATATGGAGATGGGATCGATCCCCAATCCCAGAGATCTTTGGATCGTGCAGCGCTTAGACGTCCCGGGCGCGGAGATTAACATAAATGCAGCTCATTAGTGACGCAATTAAAGAGCCAAGGCGAGCCGACAAACGCTTTTTGGGTTTTCAAGGAGTCGCGCGATCGATCGACACTGGGTTTTCTGGACACTGGCACCTGATCACTCCGACTTTCAAGCGCGAGGTTTGTATAAGAACTGAGCAAAAACCGAAAAAACAAAACTATTCACTTGCCAAGCAGCTCCCCAGTGGCATATGTCGAACATGTTGGGGTTCGATGGGATTTTAACTGGTGGTTAAAGAGGTTTCTTCTGGGTCTGCTGAGTGTAGGAAATATTTTTGAAGAAGATTAAAACAATAATGAAAAGGGCTTCTCTTCAGTTGTCAAATAAATCTTTCGCCTTTACTTATGGGTAGCAAAGATTATTAACTTGTTATTGTAATTAGATATTTAATGTAAAAAACTATTTATCTTAAGGAAATTACAATTCTAGAGACGATGCACATCTTAAGTATTAACGATCCTTTATAAACAAATTCTTCAACTAACAAGGAAGCCAAGGCCTACAACTAAGCAGGATGAGTTCCAACTGTTTTGTACACAGAAACCGTACTATTCTGTACTAACTGTTATATTCTGTGCTGTTCCTATACTAACTGATTAGGTATGTATTTAGAAGGAATACTAAAATCCTTTACTTTCTCAATTTGTATACCTTTAGAGGGTATTCTTATTTTAGTCAGAAGTTTGCAACACAGTGAAAGAGTTATTTTCAAGCTTATAAATCATATATATTATTGATCATCATCAACAGCCGAGTCGATCTAGCCCTGTCTGACTAAAGAAAAAAACGTACACAATTTTTAAAAGGAGTTATATTATTAGAATTGCTTAAAATTATTAAAATAGTTACATTTTAATTTTTAATTCAGTATGCAAGCACAGCTTTCCGAATTAAAATTCATGTTTTTAACTAGTTATAATAATTTTAAGCTTTTATTTGGTAAAAAATTACATATACAATAGATTTAAAGATTGCCAAATTTTTCAGTCTTCTTGAGACGTAGAATTACAAAAAAAGCCAAAGATCATAAATATTCGAAATAATTAAAATATAACTTAAGAAAAATATGTTTAAAACAATGTACAAATTTATAAATTTTTGAAAGGGGTTACAAATAAGAGGAATATGGACATGGCAAACTCACACAGTCTTATTTAGCTAAAAATATGAACAAATTTAAATTAAACAGAAAATTTTGATAAATTCAGACAAATAAACCCTTCAAAAAACTTCTTCGTTCCAACAGGACAATCGAACTGCAACCCCAAGTTGCAACCGAAGTTTGAGCTTGACTTACATAGTTTGCTGCGAACGTGTTGCTACTCCCAAACAAGTTGCAAAGCCCTGTTCGATGAGGCTGGATGCAACAGGCCTACTTCAAGTGATTAAACGTTAATTATATGCATACTAACTATAATTAAAAACTAAAAAATATACAAAAAATGTAAGGATTTAAAGAAAATTAAAGTTGATTTTTTAAAATTAAATTAAATAGTATTTCATTGCCGATTTTCCCGAAATAAAGAGGAATAGCTAAATCATTTGAAAAATAAATATTAAAATTTATAATGCGTCTAGAAAAACATACTAATCTCTTTTAATTTTGTAACAAAAGCTTAAAAAAATTTTGGCACTAAATTGGGAACCGTTTGTTGAAGGTTTTCGATTAAAAAATATATAGGGATAAACTTGGGAAGAGGCAGTCTCTGCCAGTGGTGAGGATGGCCAATTGGCGATCCTGCACGTGACTTGGGCTCCTCGCTGAATGAATGATAATGACGGAGACCTCAATTTGACGTTGGTCGGGCCTTTTTTGGGGGAAAAACAACTTTCGTCGGCAATCAAATCAATTATGTGGGTAAAAGTCGTGTTGTTTCCCTGGTCGAGAATGGTTTTTGGCCTAAACGGTGAGGCTTCTCCAACTGAGGAGGATGAGCCTAAGCCAACCGATCAGAGATGTATCTTCATGCTCCCGCGTCTGCATTCGGCGATTTGTCAGCGTGTCGAACAAAACACAAATCATGTTCATCAAAGTGCGGCTACAAATGTGTGTTTTGTGGCTTTTTTGCAAATTTATAACTTGTTGTGTGTTGACTTCGGCTTCAACTTCAACTACAACAGAGGCGCTATTGCTGCAGTTTGGCGTTTTGGAGTTTTACAAATTGTTTTTGAACATTTGTTCAAAATGATTTATCGACAGTTATTTACAGTCCGCCTCTTGACCAGTTGGGAAATTTGTTCATTTTTTATTTTTTGCCAAACAACCAAGCTTGAAGTAGTTCCTCCTCTCCCTCCACAAAAACGGTAGCCAAGAAGGAGGCAAAGCTAAGGCCGGCCATCTAATGCATTTCTCGGATACGTGTGTCGTCTTAATTGATATGTCATTTATGCTAATTCCTGGGCAGGCCGCCAGACAGGCTCACTTCTCACGACCGGACCAGTATCTGCCTTGACGGGCTACAAGATGTGTGTGTTTAGTGCAGTTGGAGTAACACTCGATGGCAGCCTATTAAATGCAATTAAGTTAATTTAAACAGTTTGGTGGAAAGCGCTGACAGCTAACAATAAACAGGTGCCCCTGCCCGCGGCTCAGGCTCGAAAACAATTGAACAGCCATTGTTGTTTTTTTTTTACCCGATCTTAGTCAGTTTCGAGGGCCTGACTCACTCTGCCAGCCAGCCAGCTAGAATGATGCGCTGTTAATCCCAATAATGGTTAACGTCAATTATCGGCAAGTGTCGTCACCGGCCTGTCTCCTCCGATCGAGGTAAATACCCATAATGCCGCTCACAGTTTTGGCCTGACCCAGATTGCAGACACAAGTACCTACGAGTACGGCTTAGTTTATTGTGTGCCAAGAGTTTTAAATTCCAGATAATTGTTTTATGGCCCCTCCAAAGTCTCTTTATGGCAGCCAATCGATCGCTGATTAGCAGCACCAGCAGCAGCAGCAGCGTGAAAATGTCGCTGCAACATTGTTGTCACGCTCACGAGGCTTGTGGGTGTCGCAGCGGGAGGGGAAGCCAATTGTCTTAATGCATGTAAGAGTTCCTGCCACCTTTGGAGATTTAAGAGCAATTAAAACAACGCTGCTTAAAGTCGGAAAATGTTTTTTTTTTGTTATTATTTTCCTTACCTTTCAAGTCATTGCAAAGATTTAACAGCCCTGTTAACACTCAATAAAATCGTTGTTTCTGAAGAAAAATCGTTGTTTACAGGAAACTCTGGCAGAAATTCCCCAAGATCAGTCATAAATTGGGAAAAGTAATTAAAGTTCGATGCTTGTGTGGTTAAATAATCCTTCTTAATTTCAGAATAATTACAAAGCATATTAATCAAAGAGACGCCCAATTTGGTCGAAGGTAAAGGTAAGGTTTGAGATAACCGAATTTTAATATTCCTATATAAATAAATAAATAAATAATTTTATTATAATTATAATATTTTCATTAATTATACCCTTAAATTGTAGAGGACCTTAGGCAAATTATATATATTTTTATTTAGTGAAGATTATTTTATTAGGTAATTTATTAGGAATTTTGTTATATTCTTATCAAACGTTTAACTTTTAAAGAAAATGAAAAAATGTTAAAACAAAATGTTTAACTTAATGTAGAAATTATGATTTCAGCGTTTGACAAAAGTTTTCTCACTAAAAAGGATCTTGGCTCCGGGCTATATGAAAGCCTGCAGCAGGAGAAGATAATTAAAATATTTATAAATGCAATTTAAATATGTAAATGTAATTGATGGAACACACAAATATGAATAAATAAAAGATGGTGAAATCAATGTGCAATTTTTTTCGGAAGGCAGCATTGATTTGGGATTATTTGGGGAAAAGTCTAATTATTTTGAAAGCTAAATCTAAATTAAAAACCTTTTTTTTCTGAATTTTTAACATTTTTTTCAGATTTTTTTATTTTTATTTAAGAATTTTTTATTTTTTTTTAAATATTTTAACTGCCAAATTTGAATTTGAATTTAACTGCCAAATTTTAATTTGAATTTAACTGCAAAATTTGAATTTAAATTTAACGACGATCAGTTTCAGTATGCCCAGGTGCAGTTGTAAAATAACATCTAAATTTGGATTCAAAAGGTTTGAGTCTCCGCTAACTTGCTCAGGCTCCTAAATGGTTTGAAACTTGGGCTTTTTATAACAGTTTATACCAGTTTTCAGTTGCTTGCTGCTGATTTCTGTTCGCCTGTTACCCCAATTTGGGAAACGGGCAATTTGCTTGGAAAATTTCAGAAATTTGTATGGGCTGCTGCAGGGATGTTGTTGTAAAGGAGTTGTTGTTGCCATCAAGCTGTTATTGTCGGCAACAAATAGGTATAAATGCATAAAATGAAATATAACAGTTTATACCAATTAATACTTTTGCCCAAAAGTTTTTATAACAGTTTATACCAGTTTTCAGTAGCTTGCTGCTGGTTTCTGTTCGCCTGTTACCCCAGTTTGGAAAGCGGCCAAATCGAATGGAAAAATTTTCTCATTTGCATCAGTGATGCTCATCTCCATCAGTGATGCTCATCTAGCTATATTGCAATATTGGGAGGCTATAAAATCAGACTTTGCATCAGTGATGCTCATGTAGCTATTTTGCAATATTGGGGGGCAATATATCAGGCTTAATGGCAGTGATGCTCATCTAGCTATATATCTTTATTGGGACAAAATAGATAGATGAGCATCACTGATGCAAAGTCAGTTTCAGTGTGCCCAGGTGCATTTAAGCAACATTTTAGCCAAAAAATTTACAATATGGTCACATCTGGTTTGAGTCTTCGCTTACTTCAAGATCAATGGTTCGAAACTTGGACTTTTTATAACAGTTTATACCAGTTTTCAGTTGCTTGCTGCTGGTTTCTGTTCGCCTGTTACCCCAATTTGGGAAACGGGCAATTTGCATGGAAAATTTCAGAAATTTGTATGGGCTGCTGTAGGGATGTTGTTGTAAAAAGGTTGTTGTTGCCATAAGCTGTTGTTGTCGGCAACAAATAGGTATAAATGCATAAAATGAAATATAACAGTTTATACCAAATATTATTTTTGCCCAAATGTTTTTATAACAGTTTATACCAGTTTTCAGATGCTTGCTGCTGGTTTCTATTCGCCTGTTACCCCAGGTTGGAAAGCGGCCAAATCGAATAAAAAATTTTGCTCACATGCATCAGTGATGCTCATCTTCATCAGTGATGCTCATCTGCATCTGTGATGCTCATCTGCATCAGTGATGCTCATCTGCATCAGTGATGCTCATCTGCATCAGTGATGCTCATCTGCATCAGTGATGCTCATCTGCATCAGTGATTCTCATCTTCATCAGTGATGCTCATCTGCATCAGTGATGCTCATCTGCATCAGTGATTCTCATCTTCATCAGTGATGCTCATCTTCATCAGTGATGCTCATCTAGCTATTTTGCATTATTGGGACAAAATGCCATTTCACTAACTGTCAGTGATGCGCATCTAGATATTTTGCTTTGTTTCTTTCATTTTCCACCGCAAGAATGCCCTTCCATTGAGCCTGTTTAAATTATCCTCCTCGTCCTGATCCTCCGATTTATTTTGATAATTTTTCGGACTAATTTCAGGTTCATAACTCAGCCAAAAGTGCATGAAATTCAATTCGGAAAGCTGTTCTGAGTTGCCTGTTCTAAGCCTAACAAAACTGCATGCTACGTTTAGGGTTCTTTTCAATTTCATTTTTTCTCAATTTTTTAGAATTTTAATGATGGTACCCCTTACATATTTTTGCAAAAATGGTGCGATTTATTTTTGGGGAAAATAACTAATTTTCAAAGGTTCATAACTCAGTCAAAAATGCATGAAATTCATTTCGGAAAGTTGTTCTAAGTTGGTTATTCTAAGCTTAACAAAACTGCCTACTTAGTTTTGCTTTAATACTTACCTGTAATTTTTAAATAATTGTTTAAACAAAAATGAGCAAGAAACTAATTTTCAAAGGTTCACAACTCAGTCAAAAATGCATGAAATTCAATTCGAATAATTTCAATTATTTAACCAGAATGGCTCGATTCTTAGTGATCCAATTGCAATCTGCAAGGGTATACAAACTTCGGCGTGTCGAAGTTAGCTTCCTTTCTTGTTTTCTGTAGGTTACTTCAAGATCTGAATTTTTAAAGAGTTTATAAAACTGTGTTTTACCATCATAAAAACGATCAAAAAATTCTTTAAAATGTATATAACTTTATTGTATTTTAAAAATAAAGAATTCAGGTTTATTAAAGTTATTTTCTTGTCTATTTCTGCCTTCCCTATCTTATTTTATATATTTCCCTTTTCCTGTGATCCAAGAAACTAAAAAATATGTAAATATCTAGATAAACAACTTCCGACATATGCCGTATTTAGGTCAAGTTTTTTGTTCAAGTCTTTTGTTTGTGTAATTAATTTTTAATTTTATTGTGATTGAGTTTCCTTACATTCTTCACATTTTGTTAAAACAAGCCTATTAAATGAAATGAAATGAGAACCTACAAAAAAATAGAAGCCATTCAGATTTTATTGGCTACCTTTGCCCTTACGGCTTACGCCACTCCAGCACAGTGGCAGCCTCACTCAATGACCATAAAATAATATATAAAACACACAAAAAACATACAAGCAAAGCACTGAAACAATCATGAATAGCCCGAAAATTCCAACTAAACAACGGACTCTTTACCAAAAATACAATAAAAAACTGGAGAGAAAGAGAGGAGAATTGCTTTCGGTTTATTGTTGTGGCTGGAAAGCGCTAACGGAGGGCAACGCTTGGTTTCACATTACCCACCGGGGCAGCGGAGCAGCAGCAGCTTCCGCCGCTGACAGTCCGAATGTCAAGCAGCCAAACAACGACCAGACGACAGCCAGTGAAGCGATCAGGCCCGAGGAGCGAGAAAATCGCATTCGGAAAATGATTTTTTCTGTGGACTAAACAGCATGCGATTGCCCATAAACAAGTGTAAATTGAGCTGGAAAAGCGGAAAGGCTCCGGCTCTGGCGGCATCCGATTTCCAGCAGCGGCAAAAGGTCGAGAGTTGGGCGATTTATTAACAAGACACTGCCAGTGTGTGCGAGTGCGAATGCCTTGGCATTTTGCATTGTGCTCGTAATTACGAAACAACGCAGCCAGCCAACAGATAGATAGAGAGATACAGATGTGTCTGCGTCCACGCCCCATTAGCTCATCCTCGCCCCCGCCCCTGCTGAGCGGCAAGTGTTAATTGAGAAAAAGGAAAAACTGGAAGAAAAGGAAATGCCCAATGACCCAAGCAGCTGAGGGTTTTCGTTTTGTTGTTCGTTTTTTCTTAATTTTTTTGTTTTGTTACCTGGCTGTTACTTTCCTTGGGAAGATAGGGTTAGTCCGAAAGGACAATCCATTGATAATGACTGGCGTCAGCTGGTCGGCGGCTCTCACTTAGACAAATTGATTACTAATTGGTTTGTCAGGTCGGCAAGAAGAGAGACTGTAGATTACCCAAGGATAAAGACCAGGACCCGTTAAAGTGTTGAATTAAACTTTATTGGATGTAATTACAATTTTACAGAAACTGGAAAGTCGTTTTACAATATATATATTGTATATATAACTCTATGTTTTGTGTTGCGGTGTTGTTGTGTGTTTCTGAATCTGTGTCCGTGTCTGTACATATATAATACGTTGATTTTCATTAAACATTCTTAATAGCTTGCGGATATATGTATGTGTATAGTTCATGCTAAGTATCCCGTACAAGTTAGGTATAATATTTAAAAAGAGTACACTCTAGGGTATATTTCGCTTAAGGGTTTAGTTAACAGTTTCTTACCGATTCATCTACTAAGCTGAAATTCGGAAATAAACGATTTAAATTCAAGCTGTCATATATTTGAATTTTGGATTGACTTTTTTTTTTGTTATTATTTAGCTAGCTGAAGTTGGAGTTGTAGTTGTAGTTGGATTTGAAGTTGAAGTTCAGGTTAAAGTCAAAGTGGAAGTAGACCGCCGCACTTTAGAAGTTATAATAAGACGAAGAGGATATAGGTGTAAATGATCTAACAGATATGTGAGTACAAATATCCAATTATGTTGGCTATAATAGATTCATTGGTATTGTGTAAAGTTTCGTTAGATATAAACAATCTTGGTGTTGCATTGCATAATTTTTTTTTAGTTCAGTTGAAGGAAAAAACATTCAAACAAAACTAAAGGCTATAGGCCCTACGATCCGCTAGGATATCTTTGCAAAACACCTTCACTTTCGGTATTTCTAATTGTTTTTGTTAGATTTAAGTTTAGTTTTAGTGCCAATTGGCTTAAGGTACTTAAGTTTTCTCTGCCTTTTGGCCTCGCCGCGCCTTTCTCTATCTAAAAAGACTTTCATACTTGCTTTAAAACACACTCAGGTTGCTACTTTGAGGTTTATAAATCGTGTGTGGTGTGAGCCTTGTGTGTGTGTGTGTGTGTGTGTGTCGGTTTAGTATGTGTATTATGTGCAAATATTGCAATTAATTGGTTTTAGTTTTCAGCTGTTACATACATATCTAACACCCTGCCTAAACAGTTTTAACAAAATTGATTGCAATTCTTAAGTCAGTTGAGTAGTGAAATCGTATTTAGTCTTCATTTCGAATCAGTTATCAGATTTATACATAGTTAAGTTGGAGCAAAATGCAATCAAAGTTTCGTCGAGTAATATAATAGTGCGAATTAAGTATAATAGTTTCGTAGTTAAATAGTTAACAATGTGATAAATCCTAGCTGCACTTGCACCTCCCTCTGATTGTGACCGAAAAACATGCTCGTTGAGTACAGTCTGCCTTTTTGCACTTGTTTTATATTTTTTGGGGTTTTTTGTGGTAAGTGCGTCTATTCCTAAGGTACTACCCATAGTTTTCGCCGCCTGTGTGTCTGTGTGTATGTGTTTTTGGTAATACGAACTCGAGGGGTCCTTTATCAGTTATCAGTATCGGCTCTTTCTATATTATATATATATTGTATATTTGTAAGTATATATGTTCTTGTTGGTATGTTATGAAAGCTAACAATGTGGACGGACAAAAATAATTTACAAAAATTCATTTATTGTTACATTTAGTTTAAAAACTTTACTCTCTTGCATATATCTATATATATATATTTGTCTTTATCGAGCAATGAAGACTGACTGGGGGAGGTTAGCGACAGCAAAATGTTGGAAATTCCATGCCAAAAGCCCTCTCTCCGGGAGTGTAACAAGGCTTCTTCTCCTCTTCTATTTCTTCTATCATTAGCTAGGCTTAGTCTAGATAAGTTAGGACTTGGTACACATTTATCGTAGTAAGTACTTGCTTAGGGGAAATTAGAATAGAGTTTGCTTTCTTTGAAACATGATAGAACTCCGATACGAATCTGATTTTAGAAATCAACAACAACGTTTGCTTTTTTTTAACTTTAAGTGGCGTCTTAAGGAGCTAGCAGTTAGCAACTAGTTAGGATCGAGGATTAATGCTTTTTTTTATCATTTTTTTCATTCTTTTTTTGCTTTAGAGACAAGCATAGTCGCATCGCAGAGCTTGGTAATACATACGTTAAAATAGACTAGAGTTTATTTAGTTAGTTATCCTCGAGTTGGGCCTTAACTATATACAAATGTAACTATTTAGAGGCATACACATGCGTAATATTGGTTTAAATCGTATGTATATATATATATAATATAATATATTGCAGGCTACGTTTTCCACTACAATTGGAGTTAAAAAGTTGTTGTTTTCAAAGGCTTCGGTAATAAGTTCTTTCGAGTTGACAAATGGAAAAATTGTGTTCTCATCATCTCCCTGGAGTCCGATCTTCAGTTAGGTTTACGATTAGGTTCAAGATAATACCTTAAAAAAACACTAACCTAGGCTACTACAATTCACTTTGAAAACAATGCGTATTTCTATTAAAATTCGTTAGGCAAATGAATCAAAGTGCAGGTTTAGTTGCTACTAATTCAGTGTATGTGTGTGGTGTATGTTCTAGAGAGTTTTAGAGAAACAAAGTTCCACTATATAGAGGTGCTTGGGATTGGTTTTGTCCTAAGGGGAACAACGAATACGAAAGTAGAAAGTTTCACTCGATTGTTAAAGCTATTCATAAATTCTTATGGAACATGCAGCTCGTTCCTATGTTAAAAGTTCTTCACTCAGTTGGCGACCCTCACTGATTGGATTGTATTTGGTGTAGATTGTTGATGTTGCTGGCACTGGTGTTGCCACTACTCGTTGCTGAATTGCTGTAAGATTAATGAAATCGATTAATGGAATGTATTGTTTATGATTTTGCTTAACTTACCTATTTTCGTGGCACACCAACATTTCCTGCTGCCCTTGAAACTGCAAGTTTTGAAGGTATTCCGCCCTGCGTTGGTGCACCAGCTTCTCTTTTTCGGCTCGCTCTTTCTGTAGTCTGTGAGTTGTTTAAAAATTGCATTCGAATTAGTTTGTGTAAAGTTAACAGGTTTAAAGAAACTTTAGGAAATAAACACGTTTAAAAACTAAAACCAAAACCTTTTCACGCCTTACCAAAGTCGTCAAATTGCCATCCCAAATGCTTGCGTGCAAATTACATTACATCCGTATCAGTTAACTTAGCATTAGACTTAGCCTAATTAATCGGATCAATTAGTGGTACTTACTTGATACGTGATTGTCTCATAAACTGTTGGATTTTTCTGGCAGCTTGATTCTGGGTGGACTGCGAGTAGGTTCGTCTGCAAAGAATTACAAAATAATTTGTTAATAAGTTTAAGCTGCAATAACAATACTCCAACGCTTTCCAACACTCTCCAAAACCCGAATACTCTAATTTTCTAGTTGGCAAAAGTCAAATTTCTTAGAGAGAAATGATCTTAAAAAGAATAAGTAGTTAAAAACAAGAAAGAAAGCTAACTTTGGCCAGCCAAAGTTTGTATACCCTTGCAGGTAACAATTAAAATATATCATAACTATGCCAAAAATGCATTAATTTCGATTCGGAAAGCAGTTTTGTGTTAGTTTTTATTAATTTAAAAAAACTGCATACCAAATTTAAAATTTTAAGAAATCAAAATTTTTGGCCATTTTGCTAATTTTAATGATGTAACCCCTTATCAAATTTCGCAAAAATGGCCAAAAAATCGATTTCTTCCAGACATATCTAGAAAGATTCCCCTGTCGATGCTGATCAAGAATATATATGGTTTATGGGGTCGGAAATGATTCCTTGACTTAGAAAAATATTATTTTGTATTATAAAATCGGATTTCTTGATTTTCTTTAAATTAAAAATATCAAAACTCGGCCAAAAGAGCATTAATTTTAAATCGGAAAACTGTTCTGTGCAAGATTTTCTACAGTTAGTAAATCTGCATACTTCATTTAAAAATTTTGAAAATTCAATTTTTTATCAAAATCAAAAATTTTAATGATGTAACCCCTTATAAAATTTCACAAAAATGGCCAAAAAATCGATTTCTTCCGGACATGTCTAGAAAGATTCGCATGTTAATGCTGATCAATAATATATATACTTTATAGGGTCGGAAAGGTCTCCTTCACTGCGTTGCAAACTTCTGACTGAAATTATAATACCCTGCAAGGGTATAAAAAAGGTGTATAACTCACAAAAACTGATAATAATATACTCTTTAATAAGAAAAATGCTGTTTAATCTGCAATAACAATTCTCCAACACTCTCCAAAACCCGAATACTCTAACTTTCTAGTTGATACAAATCAAATTTCAAAGGGAGAAATGATCTTCAACGCAAATTTAGCAGTGTTGGAGTAAATAAAATAAATATTCCAATATATATTTACCAGTGTTGGAGTAAATAAAAGGCAAAATTAGAAGGGAGAAATGATCCCAATACGTTTACGTTTTAAAATACTTTAATACTAAACTTCTTCTTTAACACTCTAAAACATTCAAAAAGCAATACTCCAAAGCTCACCAATACCTATATCAAAAGAAAAAAAAGCCCTTCATTTCTTAACCCAATAATAATTATAATGGAAAACCAAAGCCCTACTTTTGCTCTTAATATTAAAGTATAAATAAAGCTTCAGCCAAATTATTACTTTTCCATAATTTTGTTCATATTTATGAATAAATGGAGATGGTCATAAGTAAACTGAAAGGAAATTTAAAATTATTTTACTCACTTTAAAGGCCCTGATGGACTCGTTTCCTTGGGCGTGCTTGGCTGCGAGCCCATCTCGTGCTGCTGCTGCTGATCCTGCTTGTAATGATCGTAGAAGCTGGACAGACACTGCGAGTTGCTGCTAACGCTGCCATGGTCACTGCCACTACCCATGCCGCCCAGGCCGCTCTTCTTGAAGCGCTTGTTGCGTCGATAGGAGCGATACCCATGCTGGATGACCAGGGCAGCGTTTGTCATCTGCCTGTAGTAGGCATACTGCTTGTATCGCCTATAATAGTTCTGAATGACAGTGGCGGCAGTGCGTTCCTTATTCTGCTCCTCCATCTTCTGCCTGCCCTTGTACGACCGATAGGCCTTCTGTATGCACTTGGCCGCCTCGTATAGCTCCCTTTGCTCTGTATCCGTGAGGGTTAGCTTCGAGAAGTCCGCCTCGAAGGGATACTGCGAGATGCTGGATGCATGCAGGAATTCCGTTAACTGTTTCGTTGATGGCGGCGGACTCGGTGAGCTGACCGAAGGATCTGTGCCCAGTATGGAGTAACTAGCGGGCGACTGCAACGGTCCCGAACTGGCAGGACTTAGACTGGAACAGGGCGTGCTGACATCATGATAGCGATAGCTATGGTCATGGAAATCGAAGCTGAAATCACTGTCAAAGTGGGTATTGGGCAGTGAATCGAGCAGGGGATCCATAAAACTATCCGTCAAAGCCGAAGACTCGGAAGTCAGGGGTTCTGTCAGGGGGCTGCCCAGGACCATCATCTCGTCGGCTTCGTTCTAGGGAAATAATAGTAACAATTGAATTTTATTATTGTTATATTTGAGATAGTAACTCACCTTTATGCGTTCTGGCATGGCTGCAATTATATGCTCGGCCAGGGTCAGCACTTTGGCATCCGAATCCCCTGAAAAATGTGAAAAGTTGGCTTACAAAAACTGTACCAAAACATAAATATCAATACAAATACATGGCAAACGAGTCTACATAACAGAGTTGGTCACTTTTTACAGTTTCTGGTTTCAAGTTCGAGTGTTTAAAATGAGTCCCCAAATTGATCACGACATAAACAAAGTCATTGTTAATTATTATTTGTATTATACACACACACACACACCGACAAGCATATTGATTATAGTGTTTTGCTAGCTATATTTACAAACACCTCGATTTATATTTACAACGATCAATTCGTGGCTAAAATTATGCGGCGAGTCTTTGTGTTAGTTTAAAATTAGTACGAGTAGTTTGGTTAAATGTAGACATCGATAAAAGCGCACAAGAGGAGGCCTCCAACCAGTATTTAATATTATTAACAATCAACATTTACATTCGATTAAACGAGCTCCCGCAAACACACACTCCCCACACACCACACACCACACATGATTATATAAAACAACAAACAGCAATAGCAACAACAACAACATCAACAACATCGATATAGCCACAGCCCCATATACATAGTTAGTATGTTTTTTTGTTTTGTTTTTAGCTACGGTGTATACAGATTACAGGTGAGAGTGGAGAGTGGAGAGGAGCTACGTCCTGCTCTGACCATCATCACTGACCTACAACGGCATCGGGCAGGGCCAAGTCATTGCCAATGGTCACATCGGTGGCGCTGGTCGAGTTGTCATCGATGTCTTTGTCGTTAACGGGGCTCGATTCGCCCGTGGATACCACCTCGCCTATTTGTGAATTTACCGAGAAAATTTTGAGCATTTTGATTTTTGTTTCCATTAACCATTTATGTTTAACTAAATCAAGTACGGTTCAGACCAAATCAACCCAAAACTTACACAAGGCAAAGTCCATTTTACGCAGCGGCGACAGCAGACAGTTGGTGCCCGTCAACGAGTCCAGCGGTGAGTCCACGCCCAAGACATAATTGTCATGGCTCTCATAGTTGCTGGATGAAAATGTAATAAATATTTATTTATAAATTAAGTAGAACTGGGAAAATCGATTCTTAATCTAGAGATTTGGTACCAAAATAGAAAGAATCAATGTAATCAATGTTGACATCAATTTTTTTCCCAGATCTAAAACCAAAAGCTAAGATTTGCGATGCCTACCTGTGCAGCCTGGCCAATGGTTTGCCTGATTTACTGCGTATATCCATATTGATGCCACTGTCTATTGAAGAGCGTTTGGAGTAACGACTGCTGCTGTTGGGTGGACTTTGATTGCTAAGGGTTAAAATTAAATAAGAAAACCATTAAATAAACTTAATTATCAAATGTGAATGTAAAAAAAAGCATTTTCAACTTATAATTAGTATTTATAATGTCGAAATATACGTAAATAAATGATAACAAACTTAAAGCTCAAGCTGCTGGTAGAAAAAATCCCCTTAAACTGTATTCATAACAACCCTTACCTGTGCACAGCTACAGGTCTCAGGAACACCCCATCATGCTTGCGTTGTAGCTCCAAATCAAAGCCACTAAAGCTTGTCTGCTGCTGTTGCTGCTGCTCCTCTGGCTCAGCTTCCACACCCATATTCATCGAGAGATTGGCCAGGCCACCGCGCAACTGTGGCTTTCGGCAGCGCTCCTTTTCCAGGCGAAACATTTGCGCCAGCAAATGCTTATGGCCCCGCATGCTAGCCAAGTCCAGAGGTGTTTGCTGTGCCTGCGTCTTGATCTTCAAAGCATTGTGATTCCATTTGTAAAGCAACAACGAGCACTCCACATGGCCACGAACACAGGCCCAGGCTAGCGGCGTAAACCCATAGACATCCTGACTGAGGGCATCCAGCTCCGTTTCGAGTATGATATGTGGATTCTCTGACCGCCAGTTGAGCATGGCGCCCACTAGCTTCGCATAGCCCAAGGCGGCGGCCAGATGGAGGAGTGTCATGCCTCGCAAACCCACTGTCCAGGAAGCCACCGTGCTGGGCATGCTCCAGGCATGCTTAATCAACTTGTGGCAATAGGCCACCAGCTTCTCCTCAAAGTTGGGCTCCAGATAGAGAGCCGTGTGGTCGGTTAGCTCCTGCTCGGTCTTCACCTGCAGCTTCTCATCGATGGTGGACAGGCGATTGAGCAGAGTGAACTTGTACAGGCAGTCGTTGGAGCTACTGGCATCGAATGGAGCATCCGCCAGGAGGGATAGCTTGTACTCAAACATCACCGAGTTGGAGACAAGGAATCCACCGCAGGCCACCTGCAGCGTCACAAAACCCGCCTCGTGAGCTGGACAATAGCAACGGAGGACGCCCTCTTGCACTAGTTGCGTGGGCACGGGCTGAGCGTCGAAGAGCACCGTGTAGGCGCCACTATTGCTACTTGTCCAGGGTCCTGCCACTAGGACTTTAACGCCGCCCTCCGTGTAAGACCATTCGGGACTAAAGTCGCATATGTTTAGCACCTTGCGGGGCTGTGACTGGGGCGCTGGTTCTCCTAAATACGAACCCTGCTCCAGGGCCGTGTTATTTAGCGCCTGCTTATCATCCAAATCCAGTTCGGGAAACTCTACCAGCATATCGAAGGCATCCAGACTGGCAAAGACATCGTCCGTTTCATCCTCCTCGGGCTCTGTTTCGGCTTCAGTTCCCGCCGAGGGTTTCTTCTCCGCCTCCTGTTGATTGTTCTTGGCTTTGGTGTTGCATGTTGCTGCTGAGGTTGCACCAGTTCCTGCTGCTGCTCCTGCTTCTGCCACTGTACTGTACGGCATATTGGCTATCAAAGTGCGCTGAATATCCTCGTGTGACAGATCCAGCGTCTCATTGAAGAAGCTCAGCGTCTCGGCCTGGGGCTCATCCTCGCTGCTACTGCTGCTGCTGTTGCTGCTGCTGCTGCTATTCTCGCTAGCGCTTATTTGGCTGCTGTTATCACTGGAAGCTCTGAAAGTTGCACAACCATTGGGGTTCAGGGGTTGAGTCTGCGACTGCGACTGACTCCTGTTGAGGACTTCTGTGGCCTGATTGTTGATGTTGCCATTGCTGTGGTTATTGCTCCCCACGTCCTGCTGTCGAATAAGTTTGAATTTAATCAACATAAACTTGGGCCTCTGCGGTTTCTACTCACCTCAGAGAGCGCATTGGCGCTCATTAAATTATCACAAGTTGCTGCTGCTGCTGCTGCTACTGCCGCCGTTGACGTCGTTGTAATTTGTTGCTGCTGATTGCCATCGATAATCGATTGTAAGGAACTCGAATTGGATGAGCTGCCCGATGTGGGTGTGGATGTGGATGCGCAGGAGGGGTTGCCAGCGGAAGACGTGGCAGCTGGGGGCTGACTTCTGCTATTGCTACCGTTGCTGCTGCTGCTGTTGCTGTTGCGGTGCTCCGGTGACATGCACATAGCCTCCACAGGGGGTTGGGTTTGGGGTTGACCACTGCTTGGGGTTGCTGCTGTCTGTTGCAATTTATAATAATGTTGTTGTTGCTGCTGCTGCTGCTGCTGGCCGCTGTTGTTGCTGGAAGCATTGAGTTGCTGCTGATGATTGTACATAAAGTTATTATTGTTGCCGGTGTCGTTATTATTTACGACATTTAATTCGTTGTTTGTTTGGCCTGCTAATTGCTTGCTGGCATTGCTGCTGCTGCTGCTGCTATTATTGCTGCCGGAGTTTGTGATTTTGTTTGCGGTCATGTGGCTTTGGGTTTCAATTAGTTCGGTGTCCATTACATTTGAGGCTACAACAGCTGCCGCTGCCGCCGCTGCTGCTGCAGCAGCTGCTCCTCCTCCAGTCGCTGCAGGATCTCTGGCTGTGGCCGTGATTGTTGTATTGGCAATTTGCAGCCTGTGCTGCTGATTGAGGTGCACCGAGTTCTGACTTTGACTGGCCACGAATCTTTGCAGGCTCAAGTGCTGCTGCTGCTGTTGCTGATGGTATTGTTGCTGCTGCTGCTGTTGGTGTTGCTGCTGCTGCTGCTGCTGCATCACCAGATTGCTTCTTGCGGCCAGCATTTGACTGGCTCCTCGATACTGCTGATAGCTTCCATCTCCATGTCCTGCCTGTTGCTGCTGTTGTTGTTGCTGTTGCTGCTGCGGCGGAATGATCTGGAACTTGATGGCCGACTCCTGCGGCAACTGCTGCGTGGCATTGTGGAACTGCCCGTGACTGTCCATGTGCTGCCTTGGTCGCTCCGCCCAGCGGGAGTAGAGCTTGCTGGCCACCACCACATTTGGCGTGTTGCCGTTAAAGGGTTCACCTAGTCGCTTCTCCTGCACTGAGGACTTGAGAATGGCGCCGGAACGCCGCATCACGGGATGCGTGCAGGTCTTACCATCCGCACAGCCTGCATCCCCGCAACCACAGTCCAGCTGCTTGACTAGGGCAGCCTGGCGGGACAATCGCTGTTTCTCCATCAGCTGGCAAACTATGGACTCCACTGTCTCGGCCGTCTTTAAAAAAAATTTAAAAATAATTAGGAGATAAATATAAGAAATAAGAGAGGGACCTAATAGGTGAGGGTACAGCAGCATTCCTTTTACTCACCGATATTTCTATATCGTTGCCAGAGTCTGAGTCATCATCGGAGTTGACTGTGGAGACTGTGTAGAGAGAAACATATACATATATTTGTATCATGCTAAAAATTAGAGTATTTATATGTTTAAACTATAAATTTAAATGATAATCCTTTGCAAAATCGACAGAACAAAATATACACTGAATGAAATAAACTTGCTAATCCTTAATTTACTTTAAAACTTACGCATTGGCTTCAATTGACTGACCAGCTCCTCCTTGGTCCACTCCTTCTTGTCACCCCAAAGCGTGATACTAGGCGCTATCACGGCCATTTTATTATCATCCGGATACGGCACATTCAGATAGTGCACCAAAACAATGTCGGGATTCTAGGGAGAGCCATTTCCAAGGATTAGTAATAAAGGAAGGCCTCCAGGACTCTACACTTACCTGCAACAGCCAGTAACATCTGCGATGAAATGTGGGCAATATGGCCGAGTGTACATAACAACCATAGATGCACTGTGGAGAAAGAAGGGGCCACATATCGAGGGAAATTCAATTTATCAATCTGCCAGAGCACAAACAAGGGCATAAAATAGGAATTCGGGACCTCCACACAAACACACACACACGCAGCTAGCTGCTTCCCGCGGAGAGCAAATCCATTTAATTGGAAAACATAAAAACGAAGAGCTCAAATTAAATTACCGACCGCCCACGCTTTGGGGCGCCACTTGGTCTTGGTCCTTCCTCCCCTGGTAAGTGCCAAAAATCAGAACTTAAACTCAGACTCAAACCAAAGACCGGCGAACTGAAACGGAAGAGCTACGGAAAAGGGTTTCCCTGACTTATAAAACATTTCGTTGCGCATTTTTCTTGTTCTCAAGACTTTTTCTACACTTTTTTCCATCTTAGTTGTGTGTGATTTTTTTTGCTATCCTTTGTAAGAGGGTAACTTCTTGTGCCCGCTGATAAATTTGTTGGCTCTCGTTGGCCGCGATATGCCGCTGACTTCTTCTGCTTTTCCCTTTGGCACTTCCTTTGTCCTGGCCGCCTCGTTTGGGCCCAGTTATCATGTAAGAAGACGGCACCCCGCCAGCACTGCCAACTGCATATAAATCTCTCCGACGAACGTATTAAAATAAAAATTAAAATAAAAACAAACGGCACAAGCAGAGTTGAGTAAAAAAAAAAAGAAGAAATTGGCGTGAAATTGCCAAATGTTTTTATGTTTCTGTAATGGACTACTGACTGGTCGGTGGGGGATATTTTTCCGACACAGACAGACATTATAAATAAGCTTAACCCTTGGCAAGGCTTATTTCATTAGCAGGGAACGGCGTCGATGCACATATCCTTGAGCAAACACTTGCCCCTGGATGAAACGGATGAAGGAATCCCGGCCAGGACACCGTAAGTTTCTGTCTACTTCCGGCGGGAAATCATAACTCACCCAAAATAACCCCTCGTACGGTCAAGAAAAATAAAAGAATTATAGAAAAAACCCAACTGAGAACCCCAAGGAAATCGCTGGCCATTTTTTTACGCTTTGACAAATGACTCCAATGGCCTGCTTGAGGACGGTCTCTTCCGGCTAATTGCCTAATTGTGCAGCTAACAAACAGGCTCTTGTCCAGGATATGAAAACAATTTCGTACTCACCTCCGTGCCTTGTACTTTTAGTTTCATGTGATCCTCGCGCGTTGTCTTGCCATCCTTCCGCTTCTTCCAGCAGTAGCCATCGCGTCTGTAGCGGACCTTCTTCCGGGAGTACAGCAACAGGGAGCCGCTTTTGGGTCTAAGGGAGATACATTAAATTGAAATTTATTATTAATAAAAATATATATATCTTAGTTAATATTTAAATTCAATTTTTAATCAGCTGAAATCTGTAATTCTTGCTCAATGACTCACCTAGTTCGAACCTCCTTGGACTGCCACTCGCCATGCTTATCAAAGCTGATAAGAATCGCTGCGATTTCCTAGAAGACACCAAAAAACACACAGATTATCATAAATATTCCAATATTTGCATAGATATTTACAGATAGCTAGAGAAAGACCTTCCTAGCCCTAACCTTATCACCGCTGCGACAATAGAAACCTAGTTACTTTCCCAGCTAGCCATATTTTGTGGGTATCCCCCGCTAACTTGGCTAACTGACCTTAACTAACGTGCTAACAATTTCCGGACTTAATGGGCTCCGTTGACCAGTGCCCAGTCACGGAACTCGCGGCATTTCCTCTGCCAAAAAGCTGGATGGGAGGGATTTCTGCGCCATAAAACAAAGGAAAACATTTTAGAAATTTCATTTGACCGCAAAGCGGACACTGCCACACAAGGATGAAGGTGAATATGGTGGAGGGGGGCCCAGGCAGTGTGTTAACCACAATTTACAGGTGTCGCCGCCAGTTGACACTTAACCAGGCTGGAGGCAAAAAAAAAAAAAAAAAAAAAAAAGTAGCGGCAGCAGAGACGCATCCCAAGTGCAATTTGTGTGCATATTTGAAATGCTCCTGCCTTCAGCTGGCAGTCAGGAATATGCTAGCTTATGTTAGCTTAAAAGCGAGCCAGAGTCAAAGGACATTCGAATGCAAATCACACAACAGTAACAGTCAGCGAAAGTTCACAGGGAATCTCCCCATGGTCGACGCTTTGCTTTTTCGTTTTGGCCATTTTAGACATTTCATTGCATGTTTTGCCGATAAAGTTATCAATTTGTTTGCTTCCTTGACGTTGCATGAATAATGCAAAGTGGCCATCCATCCATTCACATTTGCCAGAGAAGCACAAGCATCGCAAGCATCCCAGCATTCCCAGCATCCTCAGCTGTGCATTCAGAGAGATTCGCCACATGTCTCAGTTTTGGGGCAGATATCGCAGCATTTGCGAGTGTCATAAAAATTGTATATCGGGAATATAGTAGGGAGGCTGAGAGCAAATCACAGGCGCGTGTTTGTCAAGTGGCAAACGTTTGCATTTTGCCCAGAATTGCCCCTGACTTTAGCCGGCAAGGAGCATATGGAGAGACATATGGAATGATAGAAACATATATATATAGATGGATGGCTCTCGCTTATTTATGCATGGCCCAAGAGCGACCTACGACCTACGACCTACGACCTACTCCACACTCCAACTCCTCTTCCTCCTCGCTTTATGATGAATTCCAGGCACATACTCCAAGCGGCGAGGCATTAAAAATTTATGCCCACCTCAGCGTATTCCACGCTTTTTCCCCAAATGGGCGTGGCCTTAGGCAAATGTTATTTCAACACTTTCGTTTTAGCAAAGAACAAACGATGCATCAATCAACCAGGAAGTCAGAATCAAAGCAGCTTAACTTTATAAACTCAAGTCATATTTATAAAGTACAATTTGCTGAACAAATTTTAATATTAAATATAAATATATGTTTTAGTAAGGAAATTAGGCACGAATTAAAAAGAAACTACTTAAAACATGTAGTTTAAACTAGAAAAGAAACAAACATTGAGAAACCGAAGTGTAAATACCCTGAGATCGAATGGAAAATATAACTTAACTTCTAAATTGATTGCTAATTTTTATTTAATTTAAAATGTCACCACTTTTTAAAATTTATTCTTTTTCTTTTGGGTTTTAAGAGCTTGTTTCGATCTTCCTTGAGATTTTGTTGAAGCTCTAAAAAATGGTTAGCGTTTCAATTCAATTTCCATAAATACGCGTTACTTTCTCTTCTTTCTCTCTTTCCTTTATATAGTCTTTGGTCAAACTTTCATATCTTAAATTACATTTTATACCAATCTCATAGTAAAACCTCCTTTTAATTAAAATTATAAAATAGTATCATATTTTCGTTGGTTTTTATACCTTAACCCAAGTATTTTATACACACTTCCAAACCCATTTCGCATGTCCTTAGAGCAAGGAGACCAGAGACTAATTTCAACCCCAGCCACTTAATCATTTCCAGTCAAGTGGTCCCTTTCGGGTGACCAACGCAGAACGGTAAGTTCGGGTCACCCAGAAAACGAATGAGGCGCAAAAAACGAAAATAAACATAAAATTGCGACTCATTATCAATTTAACTTTTTGATTTTTAAGCTGCGCCTTTTTGCCAACCACACATGGTCATCGTTGGGAACAGGCCACGTTCCCGGTGTTGCTGCTATTATTTTGCAGTTGCTTTATGAGCAGGGCCGAGTGCTACTGTGCTCTGTGCTCTGGGCTACTCCTGCTTAAATGCCAAATTAAAACCATGTGGTTAAAGCGACAGTGGCGGAGTCAGGGGAGCCCACATCTGCCCCGTTTTTCCCTGTAAGCAGACTAAAATAAGCGTGCGTAATTTTATTTATGCCCCGAACACGGCTACATTTTGTAATTTTTGCATGCTGATGCAGAGGAAGAGAGAGAGGAGCACTTCACAAGTCCTGCTGCTGCTGCTGCTGGATTTCGGAGCTCGCCATGTCCTGGGATTCTTTGCCTTTCACAGGGTCAACTCTGTATTTTTAATAAACTATTTAATGCTCTCACTGGTGCGAGAATTTAATTTAATTTATAATTTTTAGAAATATTGATGGAATGGTAGATTTCTACCTTCATCTCTCTGAAACTTCTACTATTTATAAAGGTATCAGGAAATGCCAGACTTTTATGCTAAAAAGTAATGAAAATATCCAACATTTCTCAAAGAGATTTCACTTCTTAACTTGACTTTATTACATTTAAAAATAATCATCTTTGATCTTTCAAAACACCTTCTTCATTTCAGTTTATAGTAAGAATCCTTTTTCTCTCTTAAACTTCTATTAATGTAGTTAACTTTTTGTGGCAAGAGTGTGTGTAAAAAACCGAAAAGAAAAATAAAAACCACCAAAAAACCCTCACCAGCGTGAACTTTACAACTGTCCAAATGAATATTTGCGGTTGCGCTTAATTCACAAGTAAAACAACAAGCCAAGCTCATTGCAAAGAATTGTCTCCCTTTTTGTGTATTTTTTTATATATTTTGTTGGTTGTTGTTTTCTCATTTTCCGCGAGCGAAAACTTTTATTGCAAACCGAAGGGGGGAAAAAAATAAATAAGGGAGTGGACAACACGGAAACAAACTTTTCGGCGACGCGTGGTCAGGTTTTTAAAAAGCGGTTCCCAAAAAAACACACACAGATGCCCTGTGGCGCTAGTTTTTAAACCGTGTTTGCATTATAGTTTGTGGCGCAATAAAAACGTCGCGTAGCGTTTCCTAATAGACTGGCCACCATCTCATTAATCTGCATATATAGTAATGGACGAGTGTGTGATTGTGTGGAAACAGGGGCAAGGAAGAGCCGTCGTCGAAGGCTGTCAAAGTGTCCTGGTTGGGGACTGGCAGGCTCATCCGCCTGTCAAGTGTCCAAGAAACCCTTGGATTACTTGGCCGGAGTTCCGAGTCCTTCGACGACGACGACGACGACTTCCCTTTGGCTTTCACTTGACTTCCCCGTTTCGACAATTTTATGTGCAATCAAATGCAAATAGAAACAGAAAACAGAAATGCCAGGCAGGCGGCGGCGGCAGGCAAATACAAACAGAAATAGTCAAACACAAACTTAGAACTAAAACTGACCTCATTTGTATTCCAGCGATGGCGCTGTGATGGAAAACTGTCGGCTCTTGGCAGGCTCTCCAAATTGTCGGGCAGCTTGATGGGTTCGCCATCTGTAAAACGAGTGAGAAAATGGATGTAGAGTGCATTGAAAGCGCAAGTCGGGAGCCGACTTTTATAAATCAATTTTGCATATCTGTTTAAAGCAATTCCCCGCAGCCCACTCTGGTACTGGTAACCCTTCCCACCTGTGTGACGCCCAACAGGTGCAACTGTCGGACATTCATAAATGCGACAAAAATGTAAATCAGTTTAGAGCGATGATTTATAGTTGGGAATACAAGGCAAAAGAAGAGAAAAGAAATCCTATAATGTCAACATTAATAAACGAGTTTCTGCATTTATCCATTTATCACATCCCAAGATTTTCCCCCCTTCAGGTTCTGGCTTTTTTTCCCCGATTTCAGTTTTCAGTTAGCTGGCTGGCAGAATGCGTGGCAAAGTTTTTCGGTTTTGAGTCATTGAATAATTACCCACACTTAATGGAGCTTGCAACGTAAATCGAACCAACTTTCGGTTTATTAAAATGCCACGCAACTCGCCGGGTAAATAAACTTTGCGGCCAAACTGTAATTTAGCAAAAATGTGTAATAAAAGCGGACACATCTCTAGCCTCCAACTCTGTCTCCAACTCGCACATCGTCGTATATCAAAGAGCCAATAGGTTGCACTCGAAGAGCCATAAAAAGTATTTGTACACAATTTATATAAAGTGCTCGAAGCGGAGCAGAGCGGTCCGGAGCGACTTCGCTTGCCAGTTTGTCAGTAAAAGGCCGCGTAACCAAAATGTGTTGCCAAATTGCAAATGCCAGACGGTGGGGCGGGTCTAAAGGAAAAGGGGAGCTGACAACCCCTGCTCAGAGCTCTGACAGTGCGTGGGGTTGTGCTGGCCCCTCAGAGAGGTAAGCTTACACGAACCAGGGATCTGGCAGTGGTTTTATGATCATAATTTATCGGAGACTTTACTGGGAACTAAATGTTTTCAGTGTAGGATTTTAGCATTTAAAAATATAGAAAATTATTATAGTCCTCAAAAAATAAATAATTATTAAAAGATAAATACAGATTCAAAGAATTCAAAGATTTCTGATCTTAAGCTTTAAAAAGATCCTCAACGGCACTCAACTATAAAATCCTAATAATTTCACCTAGTTCACATAACCTTTAAAATTTGTATAACTTAGCGGCGACCGTAAAAATCTATAAAAAACAAAAGGAGGTGCTTTTAAAGTAAATAAATTTATCAAAAACATCACTAAACGAGTCGATTTAACCAATATGTGTTGCTTCACATGTTCATAGCAACATTGATTTCTAAGCAATTGCATAGGAACATTTATTTAGCAACATTTGCCTAGTAGTAGAAACATTTCCTTAGCAACATTTGCCTAGTAGTAGAAACATTTACTTAGCAACATTTGCCTAGTAGTAGAAACATTTCCTTAGCAACATTTGCACAGCTCTTACGAAGTAGGAACATTTTCCTATCAATATTTGGTCAGCAACATTTATTTATCAACAATTGCCTAGCTTTTTTACTTGTAGGAACAGTTCACTAGCAACATTTGATTTGCAACATTTGATTTGCAACATTTGACTTGCAACATTGGCCCAGATCTTAACGTAGTAGAAACATTTCATAATCCAAATTTTTCTAGTAATCATTGCCTAGATTTTTTACTTGTTTTTGATTTGGAAAATTTTTTCTTTAAATTTTTTGTTATAAAAATAAAATAAAAACTAAAAACAAACACAGTCTTTTAGCCATACAATTCCTATTTAAGCAAAACAATTTTTTCTCCTCATCAAGAGAAGAAAAAATAACCTAGTAAATATCACGCACGCATCCCTGACTAGGCAAGGATTTTCCTAGCCCTACCCAGTCACACTTTAGTCCCAATGATGACGTTGATGTAGTTACTTTTTCAGGGCGTCGTTGTACTGGCAGTTGAAGTTGTTTATGCGATTTTTATATGGCTCACGTTTTGGCAGAGGACCCACTCGCTCGATGGCAGTCAATGGAAGTGGGACTGAGGCAGGTGGCGAATTGGCGACAAACTGTTTGCTTTGATCGCACTCTCCAGTTTTATGGCCAAACTAATTTGTCATCGCTGCCTTGAGCCTTGGGTAACCCACCTTCGTCGTTGTCATTGAAAAATGTTCAAGCGATAATTGTCAAAAATGTCGAAACAATCACCGACAGACCCCCCACACAACGCATATTTTCCAGACAGTCTTTGCGCCTATTTATAATGCAGTTGCTGCCATTGTTGTCAAAAGTGAGAGGGGAAGGAATAACTCTGTTTGATTAATACAAATAAAAAGTTTTTTTAACTGCTCTATGCATATTTCATGGCGAAGAGCTTCAAAAACTGACGTTGCCAGAGCCATCATAATAGACCTGGCCAAATGGGAGGGGGAAAGAAGGCCAGCAGCCGGGGACTGCCAAAAAAGAGAAGAAGGTAAACCGCAGGTGAGGCGAGGCAACCACGGTCCCATGTCGCCAATGTCGATGGCAACGTCAACGTGGCAGAAGTTTTCAAACCTCCTCCCTCCGTTTTCCTCGTTTTTTTTCGGGCTTTGCATTATTTTAAGCGGCGGAAGAAAAAACTTTAACAGGGGCAGCAGTAGCTTTTCTCTTATAATTTTCATTCACCGCTTAATTGTGACAAATGCGCTTTGGTACACAAGATTTTCTCATAATTTGTCTGAAGATTTAAGGGAGCAAGAGGAGGAGGAGGAGGCGGTAACCACTCTGGGGAGAGGGTAAAGCCTGCCTGGCCAAATTGTAGATGGCCTCGGCCATCATGTCCCACGAATTGACACGGCAAATAGCACAAAAGAGTTGATATAAATAATAAATTTTCGTTTTATGATTTCGTGCAAAAGCCGACGCTCTGCCTGTCGTCCAGGTGGACTGACTGACTGTGGCCACGAGACAGAGCTGCCAATTTGTGCTGCCTGCCAAATTGTGGCTAATAAATATCTCACCGGAAAGTGCCAGCATGGGAGGATGGGATAGGAGGATCTGGGTGCTCTCTCCTCTATAAAACATACAAAAGAAAAATTGTTTTGCACTTTCGTAGAGGCCGTAGCCGTAGCCGTCGCCGTTGCCGAAAAGTCAGCGAGTGTGAAATTACTTTTGTTCAGTCACACACTCTTGCCACAATTAAAAGCCATTAAAGTGTCTCGAAAATAGCCGCAAAACAACTACCAAATAGAAATAGAAATGGAACTCTTGGCCACGCAATTCTTTATCTCCCGAAATATATGGCAAAAGAAACGGGGAAATAAATATCGCTATATGGGGTGATAGTGAAGATAACGCATGATGACGTCTCAGCGGAGAAAAGCCAGCCGAAAACAGAGACCCCAAATAATAAACAGAGATAGCCCGAGGAGGCAAAGAAGGCCAGAACAGACGTCACGGTTAAAACAAACAGGCAAAGTAAAAGTTATTCAAGATAATAAATACAAATATGTGTTTATGTGGAATCAGGGGGCTAGTGCGGAAATACCAACAACTAATTCATTAGAAAATGTTCTTTGGTCGAGAGAAAATTAGTTTAAACAGAGACTTCTAGCCACCTTTCTTCACCAGTTGAACTTTGAACCCCCTTTTCTGCCATGTTCCTGTTTATCTGATATAAAATTCAAAAGCTTTTCACTAACTTTCCATAAATGACAGATGTGCGGATGATTTATAACGTAAGCAAACCCAAAACAAACACACTCTTTGCTCTCTCCACACGTTGCGCTTGATAAAAATCACATTTTGGCAAAGGAAAGACCAAGAAGTCTGTCGTTTTCCCACTTTCCCCACTGCACTTTTCTCCAGCTGTGTGTGTGCGTGGCATTACAAGGAAACATTTCTCATCCAGTTTTGCATATTTTTCATATTTTTCCTTTTGCAAGCGGCAAAGAACAGCAATTAAAAGACACATAACAGCAAATATGCATGTCAGGCGCGACGGGGCCAAACAATAATTAGCCCAAAAGCAGCAGCAGCAAAATGCAATTTCACCTCAAATGAGGAATATTTGCAAAACAGCCAGGGCCCTGCCATAGGAAATGGCAGTAGAACTGAGCACAACAGCGATTAACATAAAAATGCAACAAATGGGGGCCAAACGGGGCAAGTCTGAAAGTCATAAAAGTCCTATTAATGAATGAAATCTAAACAGAAAATGCTCGCCCGTTCCAAAAACCAAAAAAAAAAAGAAAACAAAAGCCAAAGCGAAACTTTGCAAAAATGTTATAAATTATTTACAATTTATGGCGGGGTCAGAGAAGGAGTCTTTGGCTCACATTGTCATCGCCGTCTTTTGTGTCTACGGGGAATGCAATTACGTGCGGATTTCATTACTTTTCGTTTGTTCGTTCAGTCTAAGGTTTTTAATGCTCTTTGTATGGATATTACTTGATTTTATATGGTTTATAGTATTATGTGTTCTATGAATCATGGGCTTATTCTGTGGCTCTAACCAATTTAGTTTTTCTAAAGCCAATAAATAAAAAATATTATATTTAATCAATTCAATGAAAAGTTTCCCTGATATTTAAATAATTAGATATTATTGGGAGAGTTAAAATAATAATTAAACATGGAATCCCTTCATGAATTTCATTTAAATATTTACATCAAGCTTGATTCATGTATAAATTTCCTCAAATATGGGAAAAGTGTGGCCAAAAGCATATCTGACTCACTTTACGTTGCATGAATTAGGTGGCAACACCGGTGAACAAGCCGGACAGCCACACTGATTGAAAATGGGCTTCAAACTGAATAGAATATATTGCTAATGAGTTTTAAATCGAATAGATCCTTGAGAACTTATAACGAAGTCACTAAATACATAATTAAATGTAATAGAGCTGCTTCCCTGTGGTTTATTTACTAATGAAAATCAGACTACAAATAATATGACCTAATTTTAAAAGTGTGGCATCTCTTCTAAAACAATTTCAGTAAAATTTTAAATGTTTTTTGTAAGAGTTAAAACAAATATTCAGCTAAAAGTGGTTTTATTTAAAAAAATTTTTAATTTTT